TTATTCTGTAAGAGCATAAAGCTTGCATGCGTGCAGCTGAGATAACCATTTAGACCGAGGTTGTTCAAACTTTACACAAACAAAAAGGGGACACTCTGGGCTCGGATCTCAAGTCAACATGTCCGGGCTTTAAACGTTTTTGCGAGGATAAAAGTTTTAATACAGATCCCACCTGTAAGGGAAGGGGGGGAAATATGTCCATGGCTTGTGGGAAACCCTATTTTCTGCGAGAGAAAACAACCAAGAAAGCCTGACACTACTTAGATGTTTGTGCGTGATTATTATGTAGACCTAATCCGTCTAACAATGTTACAAAACTTTCAGACAGGAGGAGGCATTAACGCAGTAATTGGGGGGACTTAGCTCGGCAAAACTGCAGCACTTCTAGTTGCATCTCACTTGTGCGCGAATGAAGGCCGAATAAAGAAATATAACGTGGGCATGGAATTGGTCTGATCGTCGGCAAACATTCTTTCAAATCTCAAGAGGTAAAAAAATCAGACAGTGTTCAAACAACGTGGTTCGTGTTTGGAAGATTAACAAAAGCAAGCATTAGAGGTTCGGAAATTTGAAAAGGATATGTTAAAGACCGCGAAACGGATGACTCACTGGCCGCTTTCACGCCTTGCTCCGGATTAGCCATCACATGCAACAGGCTAACTAGAATATGAATTGTGCAATGCCCCCAATCCCTCCAGAATTATTTCATCAAATCAGCTTCTGTTGTGCTGCGTCATATGCAAAAGGCAACACGAAAGTTTACTCTGGATAATAATGAAACTATCATTACTCATGTGTATCGTATTTTATCAATCCTATCAACAGTAGAATGTAGAAAGAGGTTGTTTATGTAAATGAAGCTGATATTTGAGAAATCTGCAGGAGATATTTCTCACCAATAAAAGCTTTGACATGTTCAATGGTAAAACAGTGTTTCATCAGGACAGACTTAGGGAATGAGTGACAACTTTTAAATCATTGATCATTGTTTGTCCTTAAACCACCTCTGCTGCTGTGGCCTCAAGTGCTTTTGCATGTCATTACTATTGTTAGAATTATGTATTTATTTGTTTGTTTGTATGTTTCTGCTGCTACTGGACACTTGAATTTCTCCTATGGCGATCAAACCTGTCTATCTGTCTATCTATCTACCTCAGTAAGGTCCATGAGTCCAAGGATGGCAAAGTATGACCATATTATAGAATTCAATTCCACCAGGGCCATCGATTTGATCACCTTAGAAGATGATCACACAACTTCAGTTTTGTTTGGGAGGAGGCCATCATATAAAAAGTGACCTGTGAGGAACTGTAGATCAAATTAAACTTTATTAAGTGTATGTGCATGGCTAAGGGCCTCGCCTCACTAACTCGCCAATAGGACCGCTGCACCGCAGCTCTGACTATTATATATTTGTACATTCAAAAGAAAATAGTTTTGAATTGTCATTTTATATCCTCCCAAAACCTATGGATACATTCTTTGTATTTGATATTTGATTAAATTACACTTAAATCATTTCTGAAAGTCCACAATTTTACGGCTGCAAAAAACAAAAGTGCAGTAATAAGCTCATGTAAGTATTTAATGCCGCACTAGAGTGACTTTTAGATTAATTGTGTAAACTGTCTGCTGTGATTTGCATTGCCATGAGTGTCAATCTCCACCCACCTGGCACCGGAGGAGGCCAAAACCAAACAATCTTGTGTAATGTTTGCCAACACTCTTTGCCCCAGGTCTGATGATGACTGGGTGCTTCACATGAGGAAGTTTAAATCCTGCTGATCACATCAACATGCCTTTTGCAAGATATTGGTTTTATTTGTATTATTTATACACATTATTTCCTGAAAGAGGCTTAAAGATAATGGCCTTCTGTGTGTATTTCCAAGCCAAAGACTCATTCAGAATACTACAAAGTAGCATGAGCTTCCCTCGTCCTCGTCTGTCAGGAGTATCTTATTCATGTTCTCTGTTTCATTTAGACAGCCAAGAAACTGTTTGACCAATCTCCTATTTATAAGAACAAATCTATTAATGGTTGTGTTTCAACTCGTCTATATTGATCATAACGGATTATTCAAACCAAACTACTGTTCCCAGAGGTCTCCCATCACCACACTAACCAGGGAATGTCCTGCTTAGCTCCAACCAGTGCCATTCTGGTGCTAGAGCCAACTGGTTCTGAATAGTTCAGTCTAAACAATATCAGCATCACCCATTATTATATTTATCCAACCAATGTATTTTTAGAGTATTTGCCATGAAGGAACTGTAATTATCATGAATTAAGAAAAATAATGCATCTATTTTCTTCCCCTTTATCCATAGCCTGTTCGCAGAGGCAGTAGTCGAGGCAACGGAGCAGCGTGTCTACTCTGAGCTCCTCACTCTATCTCTAAGGAAGTGCGCAGTCACTCTTTGGAGGAAACTCATGTGGACCACTCCACAATCATTCAGGCATTGCCCAAAGTTCATGACCAGAGGGAAGGGAGGAAGGGAGGGAGGGAGGGAGGGAGGGAGGGAGGGAGGGAGGGAGGGAGGGAGGGAGGAAGGGAGGGTGCGTATTGACCGATCAATCAAGAGATCATTAAATAAAACTGGTACTAAAACCATTTACTGGTAATAAAAATTGTCTTTAAGTTTAAGATGGTCTTCTGGTAATCAATACTAAAAAGATGATTTCATGAACTTCGTGGATTCCCAGGAGTTATGAACAAATGCCAGGATTGGTAAATCGTACCCGACAGCTCGTGCACAGTCTTCCACATATTAGATTGTGTATAAAGCAGTGCTCACCTCTTTCTCTTTCTCTGTTGTGGTCAGTTGTGGGTTTGTGGTATTGAGAAGTGACACTTGAACCTGGGATGTGACCTAAAGGCCAGACGGGACATCGCACCTGTGCATCCTGTCTCAGAATATGACATGTAGAATGTGGCATAAAACTGTGGAATCCAATCACAGCGACACTGAATGACGGTCAGAATCCAAACATAATTGAATAGTTCATTTGTTCATCACAATCGGCCAGTTAAATGTTCTGTAATCCTTCACATTATCTCCTGCCTCCACATTTCCAAAGTCTCTGTTTAAACTTGTAACGTCATTATTATTATAAATGACATGGTGGCTGAGTGGTTAGCGCTCATGCCTCGTAGCAGGTTGCAGGTTTTTTACCCCCGAGCCAGATCTTCTGTGTGGCACTCTGGTTTCCCAGAGTAACCAAAAACATGTTTCATGGGAAGCTGGTGTGTGGTTGGTTGTAGCAGTCGGAAGATGAATGAAGAATGACTTATTATTTTGATTATTATTATGAGGGAGAGATATGTCAAGCAGAGATGACTATCACACGAACAGAAAAGTCTGTTCATTCAAGATTTATTTTTGCCCAAATTTAAAAAATGTATTTTTATTTATTATTAATAGGATACATTCATCAAAGGTTACTTTTTTTTAAAGGGTTAACTGCTTGTTACTGTGAGTGCTACCTGCTTTCTATGTTTCTATGGAGATGTTAGAATTTTGCTTAAAATGTGCCATGATATAAAAGTTCAACATTTAATAAAACATTCAATGGTCGAATACATGATTTGTTTTGCAAATGAGATCTCCGCAGATCTGACTTGTAACTTGACTGTAGGTAGAAAAGGCCACACTGAGGAACAAAACTACAGCATTTACATGGACCCTCGACCAGGAAAGTGCAGAGCCTCTTTAAGTCTTCTAGATGTTTTTAGTGCTCTATTGATCTATTACAACTCCCAGAATAAGTACTGTTCTCTCCTTTGTCTGGTTGGTGCTAGTGGCACATGTCTGCGAGTGGTTGAGGATGGATGGCACACCAAAGGCTGACTGTCTGTCCTCACTGCAGCGCACCTGTAGCACTGTCAGCAGACACCCCCCCCTGTAATTACACGGAACATCCTTTGTTATCCAACAAATAAAGTTGCCATTCTCAAACATCTCAGACAGCTCTTGTTTGGGGCTTAGTGAAGGCGTACAAAGTGGGCCAGTTGGCAATCAGCACGATGCTTAGTCAAGCCTAATTAGACCCAGTCAAAGAAATATTGAAGCATATGGTGAGAGAAATATCACTGCCCTGAGTTTCTTCATTATTAGTTGGTGTCAGTGGATATAGTGTACAGAGAGAACTTCCCTTGAAGATAAGGAAACATGTCATGGAAAGAAATCCAATTTGACATGTTTGTGTTTAAATAAAGAGAATCGTGTGGCTCTGAGTTACCTCACGTCACACTTTTTCCAATTTGCAATGTCTCCCTTTTTAAAACAAACAAGCATCATCAGTGCGTTTGAAAATATATATATTATTTCTTTTCCTCCTCAATATGCAGAGTCACAAGGCATATAATAATCCAGTGCAGGGCCTACGCAATCATGAGCTGTCTGCATCTCCTGGGAAATGCCCTCAGTGGCAGCCTTATCCCAGATTGGAATCACTTTAGATAAGTTCAGCGCCTCGGATGGAGCTGTGCGCAGTGCTCCTCTTTCCTCACTGTAGCTCACTGAAATCTGAAAGAAGGGTAGTGGCAGGAGGAAAAAAAAAATCAACTTTGTATAATTGATGTTTTCCCATGGAACGGCCCCTCCTCTTTGCAACCCTCAGGTGGAAGAAATCTTTTAAGATTTTTTTTGTGGGATAACAGGAGGGTTTGTCTAAGCGAGCCAATCAAGTCCCTCCCCTGCTATAGATCAGTGCTATAATACAAAGCACTAAAAGCGGTCGTCTCACACAAGCGGCTGCAGCTCGACCAGAGATCCCGTGGCTTTTAATTTCCCCAGACTACTTTTTTGAAACCTTCCTTCTGAGCGTGCACCTTGATTAGCGTCAGTTCTATAGGCGTTCATTTCCGCACCTGCCTCAGCAGACCAGGAGCAGGCGAAGTAGAGGAGGAGACAAGGGCATTTGCGAGAGCCGGGAGAGGCGCATACCCACGGCACACGTAGCAGCGGCGGCTTATTTTGAGATCTTTATTCACAACATGCTTATGTGGAGCAGACTCGTACTGGTTGGCGTCTTCTGCTTGTCCTTGGTGTCCTCCGCCATGGGATGCGGACCCGGCAGGGGCTACGGCAGGAGAAGACACCCCAAAAAGCTGACACCTCTCGCCTACAAGCAGTTCATCCCCAACGTGGCGGAGAAGACCCTGGGGGCGAGCGGGAGATATGAAGGCAAGATCACCAGAAACTCCGAGCGCTTTAAAGAACTGACTCCCAACTACAACACAGACATCATTTTCAAGGATGAAGAGAACACCGGCGCAGACAGGCTCATGACCCAGGTAAGGCTGCATCATGCTCCAGCACCGCTCCAGCCCCGCTCCCTGCTCCTGTCACTCTGGTGCGCACCTAAGGCTCAACTCTGCCTCAGAAAAGCACCATAGGATTGTTCCGCCTCAGTCTGGAGCAGGAGTGAAGCAGAGGAGTGATGTGCACACGGACAGTCAGGACACTCGGCCTTCATGGTTGTGACAGTATATTTAAAATATTAATGTAGCCCTCTCTGCGATCTATATTTGTATCGTTGTGGAGCTGTTTGTTTGCGGTCTTGCACTGCAGGATTTATTAGGGAAAGCCGCTTTTAGAGAAGCCATAGGTGCGATTCAGACATGGCATTTCTGTGAGATTGTAAACCAGTGGCTTTTAAGGCAGCATCGTTGTGTACAGAGAGATGGCTGCGGGATGTCTCTCCAGCATGACTTTTAGCACTCAGATGTTGGTGAATTATTCACGCGCTTGGGTGATATCGGCGCAGTGAGAATAAAATGCTGCAGCTGGATGTTGGTTTGGTGAGGGTCTGAGGTGATGAAGGCGCGCACATGAAACCTGCCAAGCGCCGATATAATATTCACTGTGCGTGCGACGTGTGCGCCCCTCAGAGCCCTCATTCGGCCAGACCACTACTGCCCCTCATCAGGGAGAAGCAGGAGACTCAGACTGGAGCTGCTGCTCTCTCACATGTGCGCCTTAGAGCAGAGCCGGTGCACGCTCAGCTCCACTTGCACTTGTTTCCATCAAGCATCCGCGGATGTAGCAGCCTGGCCGAGTGTGGATTGTACATGAAAGGGCTTTTAGGCAACCGTCACTGCAGGGATCGAGACGCAATCTGAACTTCTGACCCCTGCACAACGTGGTCAGCGGGGTACATGAGTCTCAGTAACGCTGATCACTGCACGTATCTAATACATTAATGACGATGGCCATCGGATGATGGTCATTAGGAGAACTGGCTGCTACACTTTCCTGATAGTTGCATAAGCGTTATCACATGCATGGGCACAGGCATGGCCACGTCTTTACGCATGGAGCAGGACGCTTTACGCACTGTTTTACGCGCATATTTTGGGCCAACATTTAGTTTCTAATCTATGCATTTGACTGCATATCGTATTTGGATAATTAGAAGATATGAATTTCTGTGACCTGGATTATGGACTGAGCCACGACACAGCTTTTTGATTGGACAATATAAATCTAATCAATGTTTTTTTTATGTTTTATTTTTATCTGGTTTACTTTTGAATGCATGTGAGAACATAAGAAGCTAATTGTTTTATCTTGTTGCGGGGTGCACATGTGAGAGCCTTTTGCCCTGATGGTGACAGGTAGCTGAGAAGTGTTGTCTTTAACCAGCTCATTTGTGAACAGATTAGCAGCGTGGCTGTTGGACAACTTTAGGCCGAGCACAAAGCGAGTCGAGCCAGGGCACCCCGCCGCGCTTCACGGTGGTTGAGCAGAATTTGGCTTGATTAGTGGCACACGACCAAATGAATTAATAAAAAGGTTCAAGCTCCGCGGCTCTTGACTCCTGCTTTTCCTCTTTAAACGTGGCATGTTTCGGTAAAAGCTTCAATCAAGATTTCTACAAGCGCTTTGCTCATAAAACCATTTTGTTTGTATTGTGAACATTCCTGGTCCGTGCGCGGCATCCGTACGCACACATGACGGTGCTGAGCCTCTCCATCTTGGTCATTTCCCAAGTGTGTGTCAGACAGATTTTATGGAGGCGCAGCAGCCTCGAACAAGTAAAGTTCCCCACTGCGGCGCGCAGAAAGGTCTTGTGGATCCTTTGGGCATAGCCGCAGTGAAATGTGTATTATAATTATCATTGTTTACCTTCTTCACAGGAAAATATTCATTATCTTCATTTAGACTTTAGGTTTGAGATTTTACGGGGCACATGCTCTATATAAGACCATCTTTATATCATCTTCATGTAAATTATTTAACCAGAGAAAACAAAACCAAAGGCACCGACTTATTCCATGGCCTAATACAAACTCATCAATTTATGATACAGCCTTTAACGCCGCGGCGTTGAGATGGAAAGGACACCGCTCGCCCCTTTCCTGCTCCAGCAGCACACTGTATGTTAGAGGCCATTGGAGCGAGTGCAGCCTTATCAATATTTCATGGAGACGTGCCCTCTGCGCGCTGCTGAGAAATGCAAGCTCACAGCAGAGAGTTTGCTCATGTGCCCTCACAGGTGCGTGTGTCGGGGATACACCTCGTCTTTGGGGGACTGCAGTTGTATGAATGTGCTCTGCTCATTTGGTCTTGGAGCGTGCATTAATCAGCCCCGTGTCCCTCCACAGAGATGTAAAGACAAGCTGAACTCACTGGCCATCTCCGTCATGAACCAGTGGCCAGGCGTGAAGCTGCGGGTCACGGAGGGCTGGGACGAGGACGGACACCACTTTGAAGAGTCTCTTCACTACGAGGGCAGAGCGGTGGACATCACCACGTCAGACCGGGACAAGAGCAAGTACGGCACGCTGTCCAGGCTGGCAGTGGAGGCGGGATTCGACTGGGTTTACTACGAGTCCAAAGCGCACATCCACTGCTCTGTCAAAGCAGGTATGAGCCGCGCACCAGCAGGTGCAGCATTTATATCTCACCAGAACCAGAAGTGGTCATGTATCTGAAAGAACAGCAGCTGCTGTGCCTAATGTGTTAGTTTTACAATAATCGTTTAAGTATTGTGCTGAAATGTTACGCCTGCCACAGAGTATTCCTGATGTTACATCGCCCCGCGCCGTTTCCTTCAGGAATAACCATTGATCTATAAATGACTATGGATCTATAGGGAATGACCATGGATCTATAGGGAATGACCATGGATCTATAGGGAATGACCATTGATCTATGGGGAAGGACTATGGATCTATATGGAATGACCATGGATCTATAGGGAATGACCATGGATATATGGAATGACCATGGATCTATAGGGAATGACCATGGATCTATAGGGAATGACCATGGATCTATAGGGAATGACCATGGATCTATAGGGAATGACTATGGATCTATAGGGAATGACCATTGATCTATGGGGAAGGACTATGGATCTATATGGAATGACCATGATCTATATGGAATGACCATGGATCTATAGGGAATGACCATGGATCTATAGGGAATGACCATGGATCTATATGGAATGACCATGGATCTATAGGGAATGACCATGGATATATGGAATGACCATGGATCTATAGGGAATGACCATGGATCTATAGGGAATGACCATGGATCTATATGGAATGACCATGGATCTATAGGGAATGACCATGGATCTATAGGGAATGACCATGCAGGATCTATATGGAATGACCATGGATCTATAGGGAATGACCATGATCTATAGGGAATGACCATAATGACCATGGATCTATAAATGACCATCATGACCGGAGCTATCGGGAATAACTAGAGAAGTGACGCTTATTTGGGAATATGTTGCTGTGGATGTTTAGGATCTAAAATGTTAATTTATGTGACATCAATGAGATTTTGAATTGTAAACGCATCCTCTGAAAATGGATATAGCTGTAAAGCCCTCATTTGTCATTCCACACACCGTGTGAGATCACAGCGGCTGTGGGCAGTGTCACAGGTCACTCGACTTCACCAAAGGGATTTGGCAGAACAATGTTGGATCGTCCGGCTCAAATCTGGTTTGCGGTTGTCGCCCTGTTTCATGCTCGGGAATCTCAGGCAGATTAGAAGGTGGTGTGTGGACAGTGCTACAAGGCCAAAGACTGTCACGAGGACGCGGAACAAAGCGCGCAGACGCGCATTGATGTTCCAGGAGCCCGGAGCCTCATTTAAATTCAAATCTACAACTCGAGAGCTTGGAAAGTGGCTTCACTGGGTAAATAGTAGTTGTGAGTGGCCTATTTGTGTGAATTGTCACATGGAGGTTTCTGCACCTGAGTAAATATGGGCAGAGAAGCTGGGAAAGGCGTAAGTGTTCTTTACCAAGAGAAGCGCGGATCCACAAGCTCATTTAGAATGACAATGGCTGCTCTTATTGAGTTTTTTAATTAAGAATAGATGAGCCCAGGCTTTCAGTGCTTTCCCTCTTTCTATGTGCGACTCAGACGGCGCAGAGGAAGCCAATACGCATTTGGCTCCGGAGGAATTTGCATCATTATGTTAAATGGATCAGGCCAAAGTATTAGACTGGAACTGTACTGAGAGCAGCGTGTGGGACAATGCTCAGCAGCAGTGACGTGTAGCAGTGACGTGTGTACGTGTAGCCTCAGCAGCAAGGACGTGTAGCCTTAGCAGCAGTGACGTGTTCACGTGTAGCCTCAGCAGGAGTGACGTGGCACATGTAGCCTCATTCTGACCCTTCATATGACTCTCCACAGAAAACTCGGTGGCGGCCAAATCCGGAGGCTGTTTTCCAGGATCCTCTGCGGTGACGCTGGAGGACGGCAGTCAGAGGCGCGTGAGTGACCTGCGGCCCGGGGACCGCGTTCTGGCCGCGGACGCGCGCGGGAAGCTGCTCTACACAGACTTCATCATGTTCCTGGACCAGGACACGCGCACGCGCAGGATGTTCTACGTGATCGAGACGGACAGTGGTCAGAGAGTGACGCTGACCGCGGCGCACCTCCTCTTCATCCACAACGCGTCTGTGCGCGCGAGTGCGGTGTTCGCCAGTGACGTGCGCGCGGGACAGCGCGTGTTCGTGCTGGACTCCACGCGTCAGCGGCTGGACGCCGTGCGGGTCAAACGGATTTACACAGAGGAGCAGGAGGGCTCGTACGCCCCTCTCACGGTGCAGGGCAGCGTGGTGGTGGACCACGTGCTCACGTCATGCTACGCGCTCATACAAGACCACGAGCTCGCGCACTGGGCCATGGCGCCGGTGCGGGGGGCTCACTGGCTCTGGTCCCGGCTGTGGGGCGTGGGCCGCGGGCCGCAGGAGGACGGGGTGCACTGGTACTCTGAGCTCTTGTTCCACTTAGGAACGTGGCTGTTGGACGGACACGCGCTGCACCCGCTGGGCATGGTCACAGGGGCCACCGGGGCCGCAGGGGCCGCAGGGGCCCACAGTTGACTGAGCTGCGGCTCTGAGGACTCTGAGGACCGGACAGACTGACGGACAAGGCCCCAGCCGCGTCGGGATATTTATTTCACTGACTTCTCCATGTGTCCCTTTCAAAGAATGAATGGAGCCTTAACAAGTTTTTCTTTGAATAATTTATTCTCATGTGAACGAGCTGCTGACAAACTAATGGATTCTGGGAAAAGAAAGAAAGTACGAGCAGCAAATTGTGCATAATCTATTTTTGTATATCTTAAATGCAAAAAATAAAAACATAACTGAAACGCGAAATTAAGTAAAGGTGCAAAACACAAGCAGTAGGCGCTAACTGACAGGTGTAATGTCCACGTGTGCGTATGTGCAACTGACTGTTATCTTTGGGAGAAAAACTCGGTGGGGTTCCATAAATTATATTTTTATACACAGAATTGTAAATTAGATTTTGACAGATCGCTACCGAATCACATTTCGTTTTCTGAAATAGTGTAAGATATAAGAGTATATTTTAATTTAAATCCAGTAGATTGATTTGTTCTGTCATGAGCAGATGTTCTGCTTCATCTTCTGTGTTTGTCTTTTGGCGGTCAGTGGCGGAAGAGTTGTGCTGATACATTTTTGGGTAAATTAATTCATAGTCTAAGTAACTCCTGTAAATGTACTAAAATGTATTATTTTTCTTTTCATATTTTGTAATAGGGAAATAGTTTTATAGAGATGACCTGCGGCAGATGCACAGTTTGGATAGTCTATAGCCAGACCACACCAGTTTCATAACAGGGCGATGTGTCAAAATGTCTAGAGTTTATTATTTATATGTTTATTACAAAATGAGATAAAGAAACTCTTGAAACCTACATCTGTTATATGGCTTTCTCTTGAGAAAACACTGCACACGAGATAATATGAATGAAATGTATAAAAACGGCGGGAGCTTTGAAGTTTGTTTTGCGTGCTTGTGAAATGTTGAGATGCGATGTCGAATTTAACAAGACTCTCCCACTGCAAATACTGAGAGAGACAAATGAAACACGCCTGTGTCAGTCCGCTGCAGCAGGAGCTGTTTCACTGCTGCACACGGGCGCCATCTAGTGGCCAAATTTGCAAATAACATCAACACCAGCGACTTTTCTTTCATAGTAGTTTTTGGCATATTTAGATCTAGGCCGCACTTTGAGACACAGGATGGAGGCCGCACCTTAAACACACCGGCCGTGAGCTACTCTGCTTTTTTAATCATCTGGACGAGAATCACGAGCTACAACCAGACTCTACAGATGCGTTATATATGACATCTTCCTACATACATTTATACATGTATGACATCTGCCTACATACATTTATACATGTATGACATCTGCCTACATACATTTATACATGTATGACATCTGCCTACATACATTTATACATGTATGACATCTGCCTACATACATTTATACATGTATGACATCTGCCTACATACATTTATACATGTATGACATCTTCCTACATACATTTATACATGTATGACATCTTCTTACATACATTTATACATGTATGACATCTTCTTACATACATTTATACATGTATGACATCTTCCTACATACATTTATACATGTATGACATCTGCCTACATACATTTATACATGTATGACATCTTCTTACATACATTTATACATGTATGACATCTTCCTACATAGATTTATACATGTATGATACATTCTTACATACATTTATACATGTATATCTTCTTACATACATTTATGCATGTATGATATCTTCCTACATACATTTATACATGTCTTTATACATTTATACATGTATGACATCTTCCTACATACATTTATACATGTCTTTATACATTTATACATGTATTCTTCTGGCTGAGGCCCTGCACAGAGCGTCCCTGGGCCGTGCCTCGGTCAAAGTGCGCTGCTGAACATGATAGAAGGATGAGAGGCATCCATCAGTGGCGCTGAGCTGAACACATTTGTGTTGCGACATGAGCAGCATTCCTGCTCTGTGCACATTGTGCACATTGTGCGGCTGTTGATCCTGAGAGGTGGAAAGTGTGCGGCACAAAGCGGCCCATCTCATGCTTCTGACCTGCGCTCGCAGTCGCACACAGAGCAGCATTCCTCTGGGCAGGTAAACAGAGCGTCCTAATCCCCATGGGGCCCGTCTGCAGCAGCTCAACAACCGCTTTACAAATGTTGACATCTGCAAACATGAACCGTCTGGCATTGGGGAAAACACTACTGTTTCCAGGAGAGCTGGACAAACGTCAGTGCGCACACTTCAAAGACTCTGAGCGCGGAGAGCACAAGCTCTGATGGGACCAGACACTCACAACATGTTTCCAAATTAGACCACAGGTCTGAAATGTGGACACACCACTACCTTTGAACCCTTTAACATAGGCCAAGTCGACCCCACCCTACGCTCCAATCAAGGAATACAAGAGGAATAAAATAGTCCAATTAGTCGGCTTCAAATCTCACCCGAACTATTGTGTTTATCGTTCTATCAGAGCAGGAGATGGAGTGAGACATGAGGCTTAAGCTTCCTCCATCAAGAGGAAAGTGTGAAAATCTGCCTATTAAATGTAAAAAGTTTATCTTGGCTCAGAAGGTTCTTAAAATAAGAAAACAGTGATTGAGGAAGTCTGACAAAGTCAGTTGTAAAGAGAGTTACTGGGAACATATCGCCAAATTAGTTCATATGTGCCATAGCCAATGGCTATGTATGAACTAATTTGTAACAATATGATGTGTAGTTAATAATAATTATAATAATAGGAATAATCAGACATTTAAATCATGTTCAAACATTTGTTTAATGAGAATTCACATTTCTGTTTTGAAACAGAGAAATCTTTGAAAATAACATTTGGGAACAATTTTTCTTTTGATTACAGTATATTCCAAAATGAATACATCGAGTGCTCATGAGACAGACAAGCTTATCGAGCGGTAAACTCTCCTTTGAGAGAAATGCAGTTCAAACCAGAGGAAGCAATGCTTCACGTAAAAAGAGTCCAAGTTTAGAGGCAGATGTGAGGAAGGCCCTGTGAGCGACAGCTGCCACAGCTGGAAGCCTCCATCCACTGGACTAACAAACAGTGGGATTCCAGGTGATTCCTGCTTAATACAAGAGTGTCAGGGTGCAGCCAGGATTAAACAAAGCAGCACCCACAATGTGAGGAGGGAAAAGGGTTAAGAAGACTCCGGCCTTGTCACTGCAAAAAGCGTAGACAAATGAAAGTGAAAGGAAAGAATCTCACGTCCGCTGACGAACAAGGTGTAGCCTGTTGTGATTGGGGGAAAAAAAAGTTATTTTAAACAGTACAAAAGACCTGACACAAATGCACACAGCAGAAGCCAGGTAAAAATTATAGAATTATACAATGGTCTTATCCATCGCTCACAAGCATCGGTTCTAATTGGAAGGATCCGTAAAAGGAACAATGTCCATTTACAGGTTTTGAAACTTTCCGAGATGTGTGCAATTGTTCAAGAGCATTTGTTAAAAGTAGAAGTTGATGCTCAGCTCCAGACTCAGACCTAAAGAAGCAGAGGAGGTTATTGCTGCAGTCGTCCTCACAGACCTGCGGACACAAAGACTTGTTAGAAGCGGAGGTTTGGACCAATGTGAACGCATTAGGCATAGTGTAAACAAAATGTTAAATTAAATAGTGTCTTAATATAAGATACAAAAAGATTCAATTTGAATCTGTTTCAAAATTACAAGACAAGTGTCTTATATCGGGAAACATAACTGGGTTTTAAATCCATAGGATCTACTGGAACCCTCCACAAACAGTGTATGCACAGCATTCAAACAGGAATATTCCATAGGCACAAAAATATAAGTACCAGAGCAATTAAAACAAAGTAATAAAACACAAATGAAGTTGAACAAAAGTGAACAACATATAAAACAACAAGTACAAGTACACAGCATCAACTTGTATCAAGTATCTGGACAGATCATTTCTCCTGATAAGGAAGATGCTACTACATTTGTCAAGCCGTGCATGTAAATACGTCAGTAACCATAGCAGAGAAACCTTGTGAGCATTACCCATATTTGTATGTAATAAAGAAAAGGAAATATCAGGATTAGGAGTGGGGAGGGGGAGTGGGGAGGGGGAGGGGGGGGGGGGGGGGGTCTATAATGGAGTAGCATTTTCCTTAACTACTAATATTTTGTTGCCAGTTAAAAAGGAACCGTATGTAGCCTGCCCTAAACGGTTATTTTCTGATCACGATGTCTGCACTTCACATTTCAGCTGCTGCACTAAACCTCAGACTGCTGCGGTTAAGATCGTGACGTAAACAAACACCAATCAAACCCTAACCCTGACTCTTTGTGAGGACAGAATCAAAACATCAAACCTTAGCTACTGATCGTGTCAACTGTTAGTGATTGCGAATAAGTCAACAATAATTTACAATCGATATCACTTTCCAAAAACTCACAATCTCAAATATCAGCGTTGATCGTGAGGCAGGAACAGCACGAGGGGAACAGGAGTCACTAACGCTTTCAGGAGGAACTGGATCTTAGAAAAATATCAAATCTATATTTACAAGGAAAGGCATAAGCCAAAGGCCTATATATAAATATATCTATACGCATACATATATAAATACGGTCTGTATTAACCCTGTACAAAACTAAGGCCTATATATATAATATATATAATAAATACAGTTTGTATAAAGCGAGTATAAAACAGTGAAGACGTTTACCTGATCTTTGTGGATCATGAAGCTACACTTTTCATACGGTTCCTTTAAAATTCAAGTTTGGCAGATTTGTCTAAAATAAAAAAATTCAACAGGTTTAAAACAGGATTATGTTTAGTAATGAAATGTTTAGTTCAGAATGGGTGGTGACAGGTGCTGAGGGCGGAGTGCAACACAACACAGCACACATCGTGGACTACGGTTGAACAGGCTTCATATACCTGCACTGATGGTATATTGGCCACATTTTTATTTCCCTTGCAGTTTTTGATTCAAAATGTCAACAGTCAGTGGCCCAGACACGCTATTTTAAATATATCTGGACACATCACACATTTTACATTAAAAAAACATTTGCTTGATATTAAAGCAGTCCAAAAAAGAAACCCTTAATGAATAAAGGTTTCATTGTGAACATGATTAAGAAAAGGGATAATGGTTGCCCCCTCAGTCCTTTTGATTTCCAGATCCCCTCCAATATTTGTATAATAATAAACTAAACACTTTTTTAAACAATTGCAGCAGAATAAAATAGGCATTTCTCAAAACGGATGATCCACTTGCGTTTTCACTGGGGCCACGCAAACCCCTGGGCACAACCCTGTATGAGAAAATGGAACTAAAGGAAGCTGAAACACGGCTCAGTTCGACAGTAAAAGTAGTACGAAAATAACTAAAACACTGATCGACCATTTTAAAGCTTTCACAATTCTGGATAAATGAACAACCATGACCACAACCATCCTTGCTCTCCTTGGACAACGTGAAACCCTGCCCTAGAACCTTTTATTCTTAAAAAAATCAACCAACACAAATATTTCATAGGTGACAATAAAAGAGTCAGATTTTCCCAAAGCACATGCCTTCTCTTCAGTCATCGAACAACATCAGCCACAGAGCCGCTGGAACAGTTAAAACATGGAAATTGAACCAACAACTTTAACCACTGCTTGTAGATGATCCTATGTCAGGACAGCGCTCTGTCGAATGGAATGTCCCGCAGCAGGAGGAGGCGGTAGAAAAGGTTCCTAAGGCAGTGGCGTGGACAGAGTTTTTAAACTCCTCCCAGAGCCTGGACCACATGGCTCCCTCTGAAACCCTTTCTACCAGAATCCCCCATCACAAAATAATGATTAGATCTACTTGACAACCGGCAGCTTCTTAACCCAACATGGTTTTCCTTACAACCACTAGATGGTGCTGTGCAGACACAAGGCTAGGTGGACATGGAAGACCCCCACAAGTGATGACGTACCGCCCCCTACTGTCAGGAAGCAGTCAGCACAAAGACCAAGACCAAGACCAAGTCCTACTCTGCTGATGTATGCTAGGATCAGAAAGTTTGATAAGTGCAAAGAGGGGCAGCATCCATTATCCCTCATTATGTCATATTTAGTGTCCGTTATATGCACAAAGTAAACGTGAGAAGAGTCCGCTGGTCCGCTGTGTGGCCAGTGCTTCAAATAGCACTGAAACACACAGTGTGGGAGACATGCACATGTGTGTCCACATCACAACTGACTATTGTCTTTGTCTATTGTAGATGGTGAATAGCGTCTGTGCGGTGTGCAGCCGGCGCCGTCAGGGTGTGAGGAGGCGCTTCTTATCCATCGATCAGCGACACATCAATGTGGGACAAATCAATCATGTGCCTGTGTGGTAATTGGAATCATTACCTCCTGCAATCATTCTATCATGTCAAATTAACGATGGAAAGGTAATTTAGCAATTTCCAGTCAACTGCTATGTAGATGAATATAATGTAAGACTCATAATAAGTATTGATTACCTATGGAAGCTGGTCTGAAAGCTGGCAGCATGCTGGGGAATGGAAAATCTTGCAATGGCTTTTCTCTCCAGGGGAAGCAATTTGAACATCTGCAACAGAAATTAAATCAATTCAAATTCCATCCACAAGAGGGAGTGAGGGTAGAAAGCAGATCTATGTTTTCATTTCTACCAATCAGCAGTAGACGGCACCATTGTATCACACAGGAGCTGCAGTTTACCTCAATAGGCCCGATGGATTTGAGGAGATTCTTCAGCTGCAGTTCAGTGGTTGAGGAGGAGAGCCCCTCTATAGACACTGTAGATGGTCCACTCTGTGCCGCCTGGGCCTGTCTGGTGGGCACAGCACGACCTGCACCCGCTTGTCCTCGTCCTCGTCCTCGTCCCCGGCCTGAAACCACCACCTGGACAAAGGCACACACACAAGGAACCGGATTCTGTTAATAACGGATCATGAGTGCAGAGTGTGTGCTCTTGTTTTATGTCCTAATGCAGCATCAGACTCATCGGAGGACCGCACACCACTGTCCGACACACACACCACTGTCCGACACACACACACACACACCACTGTCCGACACACACACACCACTGTCCGACACACACACACACACCACTGTCCGACACACACACACCACTGTCCGACACACACACACCACTGTCCGACACACACACACACCACTGTCCGACACACACACACACCACTGTCCGACACACACACACACCACTGTCCGAGACACACACACCACTGTCCGAGACACACACACCACTGTCCGAGACACACACCACTGTCCGAGACACACACCACTGTCCGACACACACACCACTGTCCGACACACACACCACTGTCCGACACACACACACCACTGTCCGAGACACACACCACTGTCCTACACACACACACCACTGTCCGAGACACACACCACTGTCCGACACACACACCACTGTCCGACACACACACCACTGTCCGAGACACACACCACTGTCCGAGACACACACCACTGTCCGAGACACACACCACTGTCCGAGACACACACCACTGTCCGAGACACACACCACTGTCCGACACACACACCACTGTCCGACACACACACCACTGTCCGACACACACACCACTGTCCGAGACACACACCACTGTCCGAGACACACACCACTGTCCGAGACACACACCACTGTCCGACACACACACCACTGTCCGACACACACACCACTGTCCGACACACACACCACTGTCCGACACACACACCACTGTCCGACACACACACACCACTGTCCGAGACACACACCACTGTCCGACACACACACCACTGTCCGACACACACACCACTGTCCGACACACACACCACTGTCCGACACACACACCACTGTCCGACACACACACACCACTGTCCGACACACACACCACTGTCCGACACACACACCACTGTCCGACACACACACACCACTGTCCGACACACACATACCACTTCTTCATTAAAGCTGACAGCACAGGGGTCTGTGGTACAGGGGTTTGTGGCACAGGGGTCTGTGGTACAGGGGTCTGTGAAGCAGACAGACGCTGCACTGTGCACACACCAGTCGTGGGCGATGCAGCAGTGCTGTAAGCACACAGCTGCCCCTGGGACGGATGTGCCATCGGCCCCTCAGACCACCACTCATTCTAGAAGATGTGGGGGTGTATGTGATTAACAGAGCTGTGTGACCCTCACAGGGGAAATAAGTCCAACATTTTCTTACCAACATTGGGCCTCATTCACGAACGGTTCTTAGGAACAGATTTGTACGTAAATCCTACTTACGCGGTTTTTACGAAGAAAGTGGCATTCACGAATATTTCTCGTAACCAGAATTTCACTTGGGCAAGTACAAATCCTACGAGTCCTCAGGAGCACTCGTACGCATTCAGTGCCGACATGTTCACACGCCGGGGTTGTCCTCTTTGGTGAAGTTGAATAAAAATACAACATTCCAGTGATATGTCCGTCATATCGATGTATGTATTTATTTATTTGTAGTAATCTTTATTAGTAATCTTTATTTATATACCGCCTTTTTCACTGCAGATCTGGCCTACTTTTTAATTCATTTTGAAATGAAATGTGCCAACGCTTTATCAAATACATTGGAAATCTTGCCGTGTATTAGTGACCCCTTCCTATTTATAGGGGGCATTTCTTAATCCACGGGCCACAGAACAATGGCATATTTACTGCTGCTGCAGGAGGTTACTGGGTCCGCGCTGAGTCTCTGCGCTGGTCTCTCCTATGGATCTATACGGGTCTGCACTGGTCTCTCCCATGGATCTATACGGGTCTGCGCTGGTCTCTCCCATGGATCTATACGGGTCTGCACTGGTCTCTCCCATGGATCCATACGGGTCCGCGCTGGTCTCTCAAGTCTGGTCTATGCGGTCTCTCTTCGGTCCGCGCTGGTCTCTGCGCACCGGTCTCTCCAGTCAGGTGTCTCCAGTCTATGCGGTCTCTCCTGTCCGCGCTGGTTTTCTGTGTGCTGGTCACTCCAGTCTCTCCTCGGGTCTGCATTGGTCTCAGCGCTGGTCCGCGCTGGATCTCCTCCCAGGGTCCAAAATATTTTGAGATTAATCTCAAAACATTTTGAGATTCATCTTTAAAATAATACATAATATATTTTTAAATTAAGCTCATAACATTTTGAGATTAATCTCATCATATTCTTAGATTAATCTCATAATTTTGCTAGTTCGACTTTATAATCATAATATTTCGACTTTTAAGTCAACATTTTATAACTTTATTCTCAGTCTGGCAAAAGCCTGCTTTAGGCCTGTTGCTGTTTCCTCTGGCGTCTGCACACGGCCCTGCAGTCCCTTATATGGGCATTAGTGGGCGGTTACTTATGCTAAGTACCTATGGTAATGAAGCACCTGGCACGCGCGCTGTACTTACGAGGAAATGGGATTCATCAATCTGAGAGAACAGCTGCGAACAATTCAGCGGCTTACGAGTGCGTTGATGAATCCCACGTGGGGACTTCTTAGAAATCTACTTAAGGACAACTTGAGAAGAAAGTTGAGTAGTTTCTTACGAAGTTATTCGTGAATGAGGCCCATTGACCTGGGAAAGAACCACTTTTGTAAACTCTCAACTGGCGTTAGAATGAGTGGCGTTTTAAACTCCTGTTTCAGATAACTCAGGCCTGATGCTGCAGTGGGCTTTAGTGTGAGCTCTGCTGATGTTAAAGGACACGTACCCGGTTCTGTTGAGGTACTTTCAGCTCCTGCTTCTGCTGCGCTGCTGCGGCCGCCTTTCTCTGAACAGCCATGTTGTGTGGCGACGGTGACTGGACGCCTTGTCCCTTTACAGGGATGCTGGTGACCTCTGAAACCTTCTCCCCCTGAAAAATAACAAAACCGTTGAAGTGCAACTATGTGTAGAGATGAGAGTCAAACAATCCCATGAACATATCTACTGCGCTGCAGCCAGAACAACGTGTCAGACTGTGAAGAATACAGATCAACACAACAAAGGTGATGGGCTCATTATCAAATGAAGTCACAGCTCAGGTCTGTTGACATGTCAAGAAATTGAAGGTCGTCTGTGGCCCAACTCTGCAGAGATGTGACAGATCGATAGAGGGAAGAAAGGAGCCATATCTGTGGCCTGTCCCAGCTGAGAGCAAATGGATTAATCCCTCCTATAGAAATCAGCCAGGCTGATTGCACCGATCACATGCTAAGCTGCATTACACCGGAGCGGCAGCCTCTCCATGTGTCCCCCATCCCCCAACTCCTCCCCCGGCGGCTTTTGTGTCTTTATGGCTTTGTGTTATCCACACTGAAAATATTATTTGCCTCTTATCAGGGAGTCTAAGCTCTCAAAATCCTTCAGTGTGGCAACTTTGGTGGACAGGTATTACAACCACCTCCACAAGGAGGAACATTCATTACAAAGACTCTGGTAGATTGGCATTATTTTTGCTTCACTTGGGAGAGAGGAAAATTAGTAAATAACTAGGGTATAATAAGATACAACCGTCAGAGTAGTAAAATTCAGCTAGACAAATGATTATGTCAATATCAAGGTTCCAGACAGTATTTCACTGAGGCCAACTCATCTGGTGGCCAGCTTCCATGCAGCCCGTGCACACAGGACAGCTGGCCTCAGAGGGGAGACTGCGAGCTGGACTAGAGCCGGAGCAGTGACACCAGCAGACAGTGGTGAGGGAATGTTAAAAAGGGGAGACAATATCTTTATTTTTGAAGAATTAACGTTTGGTCCATCTTCCTCTTTTGGGAAACAGCTGCATGAACTAAACTACGCTATACTCAGACAGAAACCCTCCACATGGAGCGCATTGCGGCAACACTTCGAAAAAAGTGGGAATTTTGTACTTTCACAGCCGCTACAATGAATCAACACCAGTGTGCATGAACCACACCAGTACAATCTACAATTCTGCCTCAAATATCCCACAGATTATTCAGAGCCCCTTCCAACTCATTCCATCACCACTTTCACTTCCTGCAGTGTCTATTAACGACTCATTTCTGATGGTGCTTTGGACAGGGCACAACCAGATTTAGTGCCCTCAAAGAAGAGAACATCAACCTTTAAGAAGTGATGAGGCGTCGTCAGCCTCTCAGATAAATGTCAGATGGCCTTCTTAAATGCCTTCAGCAGTTCTTTTGGTGACGGTATTCAGCAAGTGACTTAAATATCACTCCTCTTAAGCTTAAGGCAAGATCTTCTGAACAAATCAATTTGACCAAAGACACAGTCATCAGAGTGTCCTTCCCATAGGTTACACATCTTAGATAGATACAAACTAGGGAATTGTATGGGTTGGCAGTGGCATTTAGGACAATCTCCAAACTGCCAATTGTGATGCGGTAAAATTAGTGATAAAACATCAAATAAATGTCAAGTTGGAGGAAGCGTTTACAAGAGCTTGTTAAATAAGAAAAGAAATGCTTACAGCTCCTGAAAGTTTGATAAGTCGGACTTTCTGTGGGACTGGGAGCAGACCGGCGCCTGGAGCCATCTGCATCACTGTGCGTTTGGCTCCTGGTCGCGGTGGAGGCAGCGCTGATGGTGTCACTGGTCTGACGGTGTTCTGAAGAGCAGCACTCCTCCTCTGCATCGGCTGCAGAGGAGCGAGAGTCTGTGGCTGCTCTGAGTTGATGCCACCCTGCTGAAGCTGCGGGTTTATGCCCAGTGCCATGCCCCCACGTGTCCGGACAGCAGGAGCTGCGTTGGGGTTCTTGAAAGAGCCGTTAGTCGACAATAGAGGTCCTTGATTGGCCGCCTGTTGCCTTTGTGGCATGGGTCTGTGTGGTGGAGGCTGTGGCACAGGCGGCTGTGCTTGTGGGAGTGGATTCTGAGGAGACGACGTTCCCTGGTGTTGACTTTGAGGATGTGAATTCAGTCTGTCTAGAAGTTCTTTCTTTCGGACTCCAGCTTGCATTTGTCGTCTCATCTCCTTCTTCTTTAAGATCTCCTCACGCAAACGCTTCTGCTCTTCTATCTTCAGCCGGTATTGCCGTGTCTCCTCATCTTCGTCGGTGTTCTGAAACATAAAATAATCAGCATGTTAGTAATGCCATTTTCGCATTACAGTGCATCGTTTTTGTTTTTTCATTTCAATCATTTTTCTGCTAATTTAGCATGCTGACATTTGAAACAGAAGATGTAGAAAGGCTCACCACTGTTTCCGTGTTGGGGCCAGTGTTATCCTTTTGGGCCTGGCTGCGGCCTGGACCCCCGGGCTGTAGCGCGCCTCTGCCGCGGGCAGAAGCTTGGCCTCGTCCTCTGTTGGATTGTTGCGGGCTCTGCCCCGGCCGCGGCCCCATTGCTGCTCTGGCAGTGGAGTTAGCATTGGGAGCTTTAGCGGGGCGTGTGCTGTTGATGTTGCCAGGTGCCACCGGGACCTCCCGAAGGTTGCTGTTGCGCTGAGGTAGGTTCTGGACTTGTTTTGGGGTCGGTGTAGTCTATACAGAAGACAGGTTCAGTTACCATTACTTTACAATAATTTGCTTAATTTATTTAATGTTGTTTTTAATGAATTTCCCATATTCAGTGCAGATATGGATTTATGTAGAGAATCTGTTTATAATTGACCGCCTCACCATTCTCTGCCTATTTGCCATATTGTGCAGCTGGGGGTTCTGAGTGCGAGGAGTGGACTGCCTGGGGCTACTGTGCGCCTGCAGTGGATGGAAGGAGTTCTGGCCCGAGTGCATCATGGGACGAGGCTCATTTTGAGGTTGCTGATGGTGGTGCTGATGTACATGCACTTGATGTGGAGGCTGATGAACACAACATTGAACTGGTCAATTTACTGATTGAGAATTGTTTCAAGTAATTCACAATAACACTGCATGGCAGTGTCATACATAAAATGGTGACGGCAAACACTAGAGGGAGCTGTTGTCTTTCTCCACATTTCAAAGTAGGTTCCATTCACTTTTTAAAATTTGATTAACAGCAGCAAAAACAACACTTACATAAAAAAAAAAAAAAACAAGTAAATCACTAGTCATACCTGCATCCTATATTGCACTGGGAGATTATAATGGTTGCGAGGCTGTGCAAAGGGTTGCCGGGGGCCCATGAATGCTCTAGACTGGTTGAGGGGGCCTCCTTGGTTCAGGCCCATCATGCCTTGTACGTGGTTAGCAGGGAGGCCAGGTTCTCGCTGGAACAGTCCGAGTTGGCCATGGCCAGCCTGATTAAACACTGGTCTGGGATGGCCAAAGCCCATGTGCCCTGGTCCAGACAGCTGAGACGGGTGGATGTTTGCGTTCATCAGAGGGGTGGGGTCGTGGTGCTCAAATATGGGCTGTCCCGGAAATGGAGCAGAGTCTGGATGTTCTGTCGAACCAAAAACATCAGTTTCAGATATTTTTTATGGCTTCAAAAAGACACAATAGCACTTTAAAAACAAAGAAAAACTGAATCCGTTTTCTAACTCTAACATTATATCGAGGGCTTATTCCGTTTTTCATATAGACATGCATTTAACATGAGTATTGCTAATAGAGCGGCACCAGAAGGCTAGCTGCATACCCTGTAGGTATAATGCCAGAGGAAATGTCAAATAGAGTCAAATATGCTAAGAAAGGCTTGCTCGTCTTGTCAAGTAGCGAGACTTGCCTCCCATAAAGAGGGGCTCTCGGTCCTGTGGCCCCGGAGGTGGCTGGTTCCTGAACTGCTCCATGTGAGGAGGCGGCCGCTGTGGGGGGCCATATGTGTGGAAATCCCCATGTCCCTGGAAAAAGAATACAACTATTCAAAAATGAATTATTTAAAATAAGCCAAGAATTAAACCATAAGACCAAATGATCTAACTGCGGGAATCACAGGGAAACAAAGAGAAAAGACCAATCAAAAGACTGTTGTAGCCATCTATACCAATATGAAGTGAAAGAAATACAAAACTGAAAAGAGGCAGGATCATTTGGAGCATAGTCGGAAATCTCATAGTCGATTTGAGTGTTTTTCATCATGAATTGTATTATTCTCTTTGGGTGCAAGGGCCTGCATGAGTCTTTCAAGGAAAACTAGATAAATCCTAATCCTTCACTGAACTTAAATCCCCTTTAAGCATTACCTTAAAATTTTAACATCTGATGAAAAATTAACCTACTATTCAACATGTGCCACATCCACAAATTGCCTTCTCCAAGCCCATTGTAAATTACTTAAGATACTATCACGCCTTAATCCATCTTTATTCCACTGCAGCGTGCTGGTATTTAGACAGAGGAGGTGTTAAGAAAAGGTAGAGGCGCATCAAAACTTGCTTAATAGAAAGTTAATCAACAGAGCTTAGACAGACACAGGATAGATATTAAGCCACTGTCATTCGGCTTTAAAAGGTCAAAGGGACAGGTAGGCACAATGGGGCTCTGCTGTCTAATACCCATCAAATAGCACTGCTCAGCCGCCATCTAATCCTCCATAAACAGGCTGCGGGCTCAAACGGAGGCAAGGGCAGCATTCACAATTCAAATGACAACCCAGTAATAAGGCACAGACAAAAGGCATTTAAAAAGTCTGTTTGAGCATTAGACCTCTGTGAAATACATTATCGACATGTGATATTCAAGCGGTAATTAATGGAAATAGCTTATTGCAGATGGATATACGAGTCGCGATTGAAATGGCTTCTCAGTTGATTAAAAAAAATATATACACAGATTAATATTTCAAAAGCAGGCTTCATTGGTAAAATGCAATGCAATATACCTCAGGCAATGACCCCCCATTAGGCCGTCCCTTTAACAATTAACTGTGATGGGATGATAATGTATGATAATCACGAGTAATCAGGTGCCCAGTGGTAAATGGGATGTTGCCGGTTGGAAAGTCACCTGCATTTCAAATGGTGTCCTTGACAACCGCACTAAACACGATTGACAGCTGCGGAATGCGACATTATGCTGTTCATTAGCTTAGTGCAAGGAGCAATCGTGTCTGCTGGTATGGGTACGATATGGGTATGATACAGAGCATGAACCAGTACAATAACAACTCATAAACACAGACGTCTGTGTGAGTTTAAAAGCATATTTAATGTCTTGCCAAGATTGTGTTCGTCTTTACAAGCAGCGTGTCTGGACATTATCACGAAGAAAAGAAAAAAAATGAGTTTTTCTTGTAAATTTAAACAGTTTCTATCAAACTTTGGCTTGAAAAACTGCAGCCGAAGCACACACCACCTCTGAAGACCTGCATGTTTCTTAAATTCACATTTTAAAAGGACTACACGCCTTCTGGGACACAAACTTGTGGAAAGTGAATTTTACGGCTAGTATACACTGCTTTCACAATTCTATTATGTGCCAAGCTCGATAGTCTAAGCCTCAGCCCAGCCATAGAAACTTGTTAACAGAGTGGTGCCACTGCTTCCCTGACCTCCACAAGTCTATTGCCTAAAGCCCATATCACACATTTACAGTGGTGCAGCCAGACACGTATCAATGTTTGGAAATGTACTTTCAGGACTTGGCTTGGGTGGGCCGTCTAATTGCTCCGATGATATTGCCCTTTCATAAGAGGATGCTAAATGTGTGAAGGAGGAGCGGGTGTGAGGTGAGGGGGGTAGAGGAGCAGCTGCTACTCACAGGGAACCTCGGAGGACCCACAGCAGGTCTAGGTTGGCTCTGAGCAGGAGGCATCAAGGGCACTGCAATGAGAGGGGGAGGGGAACAGTCAGACAGACCATTCAAGACTCAGGGAAAAAAACAGTCCTACCCATTCTGAAAACATGTGAATGCTTTAGAAAGAGAATTTACCTGACACAGACGTAGTGGGGCCCCTGAAATGAGGGTTAATGTGGATGTTTTTGGGCTGGGGAGGTGGCGGTTGCGGTTGGTGGGAGTGCTGGGGAAAGCCAGGAGGGGGGGAGCTCATCATTCGAGGTGGTGGCTCCATCTGAGAGCAGTGAGTCATGTGTGAAGGCATCAGTGGCTGAAGAGGCTGCTGGACCAACGGCCGCCCAAGATCTGAGAAGGAGGGAGATAGCCGTGCGCGCATATGATGGTGCTGTTGATGCGGAGACATTCTGGGACCCTGGTGCTGATGGAGGCGGGAAACAAAAGTCTCAAAATACAGACATCACAAACAACGCAATTCATACGACAAATGTGAACGCAACGCATCCTGGTGGACCAATGTGCTTACCTGCATGTTCATGTTGCCCAGGAAAGGATATCTGGGCTCATTCATTCGCCTTCTGTTCCCCCTCATGTCCTGTGGGCCGTACCCCAGCATGCCCCCTCTTCCTCGGCCTCCTCTTCCTCCTCTCCCTCTGTTATAGCGGTTTTGTCTTTTTTTCTCCTCTTGCTCTTCGAACTCTTTCAGATCAGCTTTGGCCTTTTCTGACAGTTCTGGACAATCACAAGCGAGTAAATACAAGACCAGGGAACAGAAGCAGATTTGATGACCGTTGTGGACGTATTGTCGTACCCAGAGTTTCAGGAATGTTGCTGCGCTTTCTCCCGGCGTCAGCTAAACGCACCACTGCCCCGTCTTTTCTCTCAGACTTGAACCTCAAACGGCCCGACTCCTCATTCTCCTCGTCCTCCTCCTCAGACTCCTCTCGAGACTCTTCTAGAAAAGCTTCACTTTCAACCTGCGGACACCAGTGATTAGTCATTTCAGCGGTTTAGACTTTCGAGGGACTGTTGGCAGCCGCTCTGCAACAAAGATAACAAACTTCACAGAGTTTGTTGCTTTTATGTGTCATTACCTGCGAGCTCTCGGCGGTGGAAGACACTTCATCCTCTACGAACTCTTCTGCTTCTGAAACTTTCTCCTGGGGCTGATCCATAGATTTCTCATTATATGACATTGTATACTTGTCATCCTTCAGGAATAAAGACAAATAAAATAAATGATAACATTAGCTCAAAAGGATGACGATGAGACGAAAGCATATTTAAAAGAATTGAAATCTCATTTAGTGCAATAAGTGACATGCAGCCGCTGCAGGAGATTCAAACATGTTAAGAAACATGTTACGATTACTGCAAAACATTACGACATCATTAATGACATGGTTCTACATGTCTCAAATGTAGGACCAGGTCTAAGAAATCAAACCATCGGAAAGGAGTAAGATGTTTATGAAAGATTGTGAGTCAAGTCTTTGGATCGAGCATTTTAAGCATGTATAAATTTGGCTTCTAAAACAGATTACACAGTAATATTATTTAAAATAAACCACCTTGAATCAAACAAGCAAATCATCTTTCCAGCCTTTCAACACAAATTGAGTGACTGGCCCGAAATCTCATAAATGAAAAGTAGTTATAAATGAATTTTAAAAAGAAACTGTAAATGTATTTTATAATACTTTGAAGGATTTACAAAAATCAAACATTACACTAGGAATGATTTTTTGGGGCACCATGAAGACCCAATACACAAATTACCATAACAGTGGGAGCAAAGGCTTCATTACTATTCCTGACAGCATTTGAAATTCAATGAGATGTAAATGTTTGACACGATATACAGAAATGCAAGAGATAAAAACACTTCTTCTCGGTTCAGTGATGGTGATAATATCACTGACTAACTCCACACAGATCATCCTTTCACTAGTGGCCACAGTGTACATTCACTTCACACTAGGAACAGATGCATTGATTGGGATTTTAATTCAAGTAATTCATTAGTTAAATGAAAGAAACGTTAACTGAGAGTACCTGAACATTGTTATGGGCAGGAATATGAATACAGAAGAGAAAAGCTGGATATCCTGCGGGACACACACTTAATCCTTTAAACTGTTCATTTGTACTAGATGAAAACCCAACAGAGAAAATGTCAATGCCGGTCATGGTCCCAGTGACCTTATTTATGTGAATAAGATCAACACCTTTATTTACAATCTGTCCAGTAGTTTAAATGTGGTGTGTGCATGAAGGTCAAAAGAACCTTTTTTTTTTTTCAACACTTCACTTTATTTGGGAAACGGAGGCAGCCCAATATACCCGTCAGGTGCCAAACAGCAACACAGTAAAAGGGCCAGAGCAGACATTTGCACATGGATTCGTGCTTATCTCTGATCCTTTTGGCTCGGGTTGAGGGGAAGAGAAGCACAAATAAAAGGAAACTCGCATCAATCATTAGAAAACTGTAAAGTGTGTCCTCAGGAAGGTCAATAATCTTTTCACCTGCACGAGACTTTATCAGATCCAGTCTAAAGCTGCAGATAATAGCCCCCCACATTAACCTCTTTCGATTGGCAGCACATCACCCACATAAAGCGGTTCTGACTCTGGTAGTGATAGAGACCCAAGGTCACAAAAGGCACAGCGATGTGGAGGCGACACTTCATGCCAAACAAGCTGTCAACATAAACTTTGTCAGCAAGATGGAGAAATTAACTGGCAGGGAGTGATAATGAATATAATCCTCCTGTAGCACTAAATGCCAACCTACATCTCCCTTCGACATAATAGATTTTCAATCCTTGCCTGTCCCTTCAGCGAGACAAGAGAGGTGACATTATCTATTGGATACAAAGGAAATGGACAGAAAGGGAAAGGGGATGCGTTTGTGTGCAGCAGCAGATGAAGATGAGCACTCACTTGAAATTCACTCTCAAGAGGCTCGTTGATTTCAAGGTCTAGCACTTCATCCTGGTAGCCATCGTCTTCCTCGGCTGGCTCTCCGCTGTAGTCCACTTGGTTAGTGTTGTAGTTTTCCTCCTCATATCCCATCTCTGTGTCGTCTGTGTAGCCCTTTTCCTTCTGCTGGCCGTAGGGTGTGGCCAAGCTGCAGGAGGCACTGACAGTCAAAGCCGGACCACGCAAATTAAAATTAGGTACAAAACTCACAAGTTGGAGTGAACATTCTCATTCTACATGAACACGGCTTTAGCCCTTGACATTTCCCAACACTCCAAAACTTCCGCCAGATACTGTGTTGATGAAGTTGCGGGGGATTGGATTCTAATTCAAGGGAGGTCTTACTGATATATTTCCAATACCCCTTGTAATACTGGTTTAACATTGCATTTAAATGTTTTATCTGTGCCCTGATCCATGTTCAAATCATAGTTGGCTTTTTCTGACCAAAAGTTAAATGTGAATTTTTTTGTTGCTAGAAAATATAATGGACATGAAGTTTGCATTATTTCTGTTAACGTTTCATATTTTGTTTCTCAAGCGGATCATTTAAACAGAAAATTATCATAATGTGACTCTTCCTTATCATGATCATTACTTAGTTTGTAATGCTCATAACAAAACCTGTGTACAAAATACACCTCATACTTGGATCTGAATAGAAGAAGCAAGGTATTCACTCAAGACCCAATGCACAAAATGTAAAATGTAAGATTTTTTTTTTTTAAATACACGCCAATCCGTAATGTTAACAATTAAACATTGACAATCAATTTAAATTGAGACCATGGTGAAAACTGCAATCATTACACAATACCTGATATTTTGGTCTTCGTCGTCACTTTGTAGAAGGTCATCATTAAGCTCCTCGTCGGACATTTCCGATGGCTGAACATGTAACAAAAACAATGTTTTCAATTGTACACGTTTTGGCAACAGAAGTGTGTTACTCTTCATCAATAACACACAGCAGTGTTTCTGACTAAAAGCCACAGTCGCTCTTATGTGGTCGCCAGCCCTCTGCGGGAAGTTAGAGGAAACAAGTTTTGTGTCTAGGCCAATTACCTCCATGTGCCCGTCTCAATGTCTTCACAGCTGTAGTCTACTCCATGTTTGCATAAAGTTGACTGCTTCTCAAAACTCGGCTACACTCAGACTGCCTCCTCCGCTCCGCTCTATGCTGCAGCTGCTTAAGAAATGTATGAGAGCTTCTTGCTCAAGTAATTTGCTCTATCCACTTCCAATCAATCCCTGCCCCTGCTAAAAAAAAAAAAAAAGTAGCTCCACAGCATGATGCTGCCACCACCTTTGACACTAGGGATGGTGCACTGAGGGTGATGAGCAGTGCTAGTTTTGAGCCATTTGTTTTTCACATTTTGCACGCCACTGCGCGAGCCTTTACGCTTCAAAAGATGCATGCTCTGTGTAGGGGACGCAAGGTACAGCAGGCGTTGCAGAAAACAAAAGTGGTCGCGCTCACTGGTGATTATTTATGGACGACCAGTCCATTAGTAATCACAATTATCTCGAGGTCACAGCCCAAATCATAGGATATTTAGAATAGACAGAAATGTGCAACAATTGTGAGTTAACTATGCCATTAATGCAATTAATTCCAATAATTATTCTAATCATTTGACATCACTGTTACTTGTATATGCAAAGCATTGTGCCTTCTGCATCGGGAATCAAAGTTAATCATAGATTTCTATTAGCAGTGTGGATAATTCCCATGTGGTGAAGCCAATCTGGACAGGTCTCTTTTTTTGTCCAGTGTACTTCCCCCTGGTCCACATCAACATTTGCCCCGTGGAGGAGCCACCTGCCACCTTTCTACTGTGCACTAAATTCACCATATTTTTCACACTCTCTGCCTACCTACAATTTAGAGTTAAGAATCATTCATCTGAGGAGGTATTCTGCACATACCTTTTTACTCGACGTCCAGCCATCGTCTCCGAGCAATTCCTCCTCCAAATCACTACAACAGAATCACCTTGTTAGAGTATTCATAAACTTGCCACATTTATCCACATCCAATATTAATTACAGGAAATGTAGATAGAGCGTCTACTCTCATAAGTTTAAAGTATGAAAGTATTTGACACTTCGATGAACTAAGTGTCAAACCCTTATTTATGAACTAATATCCAACCCCTTAGTTTCTGCAAAATAAATTACGTTTTTGTTGAGTATATATAGTGCCTTGCAAAGTATTCTGCCCCCTTGAACCTTTCAACATTTCGCCACATTTCAGGCTTCAAACATGAAGATATAAAAATTTAATTTTTTGTCAAGAATCAACAACAAGTGGGACACAATCGTGAAGTGGAACGAAATTTATTAGATAATTTAAACTTTTTTAACAAATAAAAAACTCAAAAGTGGGGCGTGCAATATTATTCGGCCCCCTTGCGCTAATACTTTGTAGCACCACCTTTTGCTGCAATTACAGCTGCAAGTCGCTTGGGGTATGTCTATCAGTTTTACACATCAAGAGACTGGAATTCTTTCCCATTCTTCCTTGCAAAACAGCTGGAGCTCAGTGAGGTTGGATGGATAGCGTTTGTGAACAGCAGTCTTCAGCTCTTTCCACAGATTCTCGATTGGATTCAGGTCTGGACTTTGACTTGGCCATTCTAACACCTGGATACGTCTATTTGTGAACCATTCCATTGTAGATTTGGCTTTATGTTTTGGATCATTGTCCTGTTGGAAGATAAATCTCTGTCCCAGTCTCAGGTCTTTTGCAGACTCCAACAGGTTTTCTTCCAGAATGGTCCTGTGTTTGGCTCCATCCATCTTCCCTGTCCCTGCTGAAGAAAAGCAGGCCCAAAGCATGATGCTGCCACCACCATGTTTGACAGTGGGGATGGTGTGTTCAGGGTGATGAGCTGTGTTGCTTTTACGCTAAACATATCGTTTTGCATTGTGGCCAAAAAGTTTGATTTTGGTTTCATCTGACCAGAGCACCTTCTTCCACATGTTTGGTGTGTCTCCCAGGTGGCTTGTGGCAAACTTTAAACGCGACTTTTTATGGATATCTTTGAGAAATGGCTTTCTTCTTGCCACTCTTCCATAAAGGCCAGATTTGTGCAGTGCACGACTGATTGTTGTCCTATGGACAGACTCTCCCACCTCAGCTGTAGTTATCTGCAGTTCATCCAGAGTGATCATGGGCCTCTTGTCCGCATCTCTGATCAGTCTTCTCCTTGTTTGAGATGAAAGTTTGGAGGGACGGCCGGGTCTTGGTAGATTTGCAGTGGCTTGATACTCCTTCCATTTCAATATAATTGCTTGCACAGTGCTCCTTGAGATGTTTAAAGCTTGGGAAATGTTTTTTTTATCCAAATCCGGCTTTAAACTTCTCCACAACAGTATATCGGACCTGACTAGTGTGTTCCTTTGTCTTCATGGTTCTCTCTGCGCTTTAAACAGAACTCGAGACTATCAAAGAGCAGGTGCATTTATACGGAGACTTGATTACACACAGGTGCATTCTATTTATCATCATCAGTCATTTAGGACAACATTGGATCATTCAAAGATCCTCACTGAACTTCTGGACTGAGTTTGCTGCACTGAAAGTAAAGGGGCCGAATAATATTGCACGCCCCACTTTTCAGTTTTTTATTTGTTAAAAAAGTTTAAATTATCCAATAAATTTTGTTCCACTTCACGATTGTGTCCCACTTGTTGCTGATTCATGACAAAAAATATTTTTTTTTATATCTTTATGTTTGAAGCCTGAAATGTGGCGAAATGTCGAAAGGTTCAAGGGGGCCGAATACTTTCACAAGGCACTGTATTTATATGTTTTGTATAATCACTGTGGTGGGTCATTTTGACCCGAGGATAGCACAAGGGCTTAGTCAAGGGCTTACAGCCATAAACTCTTTTAATGGCGTCATGCTTTCCACGGTGCTAATGGTTAACCTCAACCCTCTAATGCCGTACAATGTTCCTCTGATTGTGTCCATCTACCCCCCTCCCAAACTCAGAACCGAGGCTTTTGCTTTCATGGTTGCTTGTGTGTACACTGCCTTGTATCTGGCAATAAAATATGTATTACAATATATAGAACACAGATATATAAGGAGATTGTTGCAAAATTTTCACATTTGGAACCAAATTAATAACAAAAAAGCTCTTGGTAGTTGCTGTTTCTGTGATGTCACACTAGTGAGTGTGAGAGTAAGACTGCATTGAACATACTGGACCAAAGCAAAAAAATAGGGTTAGACTTCCTCTCTGATTGAGATTGTTTTATTTTGAGTTTCTAGCCCTGATACTTGAAGAAAACCGATTACATTTACACTCGTACAAAATCCAAAAAGCCATTTAACATAAGACAAGCAACGTTTTCCTGTCTTTCAGCGGATTTAGAAATTGTAGGTAAATCATGAAGAAGTGAGACCCTGGAGAGGAATAGTGAGACTGTCACCAATCGCTGCTGCTCCCTCTGCTCCCATTACTTGTGTGGTCACAGAGCAGAGATGTCACAGAGCAGAGATGTCACAGAGCAGAGATGTCACAGAGCTGAGATGTCCCTTTATTTGCTGAAAACCCTCAGAAAGCAACAGCAGCAACCCTGTGCCTCTGCATGCTGTGTTTTGACTTAAGACGCTTTCAATGAAGTTTTCATATCCACACACAAACAGGAAAGCTGAGAAAAGGCAAATCTTCAAATTGAGTTTTCCAAAACCTTAGTTTTCAGATACGACTATAACGGACTAACTTAGTCACCACAATGATCGAACCAATCACTGGAGAAATTAGAGTCTTTGAGAGTCTAGAAAAGCCCAACATAAAAGTTATGTTATCAAAGTTGTTATTTTCCAAAGATTATAAGCTATAAAAGGTCTACTAAAGACAAACCTTTCAATATCGTCATCTTCGCCTCTTCTCCTGCGTGAGCGCTCAGAACCTGGCTTGTCATACCCAAAGTCAAAGTCTGTGGAGAAAAAAAACAATTTTTGAATGGTGATGAACAAATAAATAAGGAATGTAGTAATGAGTCATTAGTAATATTTTTCAGCCATGTACAGACAAGAACGTTCTATGACACAACCAAACATATAACACTGATGAGTGGCATAATTTATGCTTTCTTTGTGTCAATTTTATGTTGTAAACCAATTTTTTTTTTGTAATCCAAAACACTCATTTGACTGAAAGCAGTTTTTTTAATTCAGCCCTTAAACCAGAAAGGCACTCGTAGATCGTAAACCTCCGCCAATAGGCAGTTTTATTCCTAAGAATTCTTGGATCCAGACGGTGATACAGATCCAATGGGTTTAAACTAGAGTAGGCACTTAAACACATCATTATGTCAACATTCTGTAATTATTGTGGATAACTTTGTTGTTCCCTTATCCACTGACATGTGGCTCTGTACACTCTCAAGGGCGTGAGTCCCAACATTTCACCAGTTACAGAAGTTTTAAATGCAAGGATCCTGGTAACAATGGTTTGGGTTGTAATTAGGGATGTAAATCGGCGACCGTTTAACCGGTGGTTGACCGTCACAGCGTTAACCGGTCAAAGCTGTCGGTTAAAAAAGAGAAAAAGGGGAGAGGGGAGGTCTCTTAATAACGCTATTTTAAGCCCTATTTGCACGGTGTGACGAGCGGGTCTGTATCTATCTGTGTGCGCCAATGTATTATAAACTCCGGGACGACTCTCACGCCGCACGAGCCACATATGCACACATGCGCGCACATACACACACGCACACGCGCACACACGCGCACATACACACACACACACTTTCCCCCTCTCCATACGTAACATCCACACGCATCATCTCTCCCCTCTGTTACCGTCAAAGTTGCACACTGGCGCGGGTCAGAACTACATTGGAGCTTACATTTACACACACACACATATACATACACACACACACACATACATACACACACACACACACACACACATACCGGTCTGTCGCGCTCCTCTGTGTCATGGAGCCCAAAGGATTCGCGCAAATACACGGCTCCAGTCAAACCACATGGAACATGTTTGTGTTTATGGTCCTCGGGATCAGCTCCACTGCACATCACTTGTATTTAAACTTTAGTGAAGACCTGTGAGACGCGTCACTCGCTGCTCTGACCATGTGAACGAGCCGTCGTTTGCTGCTAGAAAGTTTTGGTATTAACCCGCAGCTCAGCAGAATGGGAAGATTAAAAAAGCAGTTCTCTGTGTGCAAAGGTGCCGGAGCTGTTGCGGGTTTGGGCGCCGCTGTCTCAGCTCTGATCTAGTAGAACGCAGAGCTGCACTTATGAAAAGTACGTGGCTCGAAATGGCTGTTATTTCAAAGAACGTGGACTATTTTAAACTACGCGGTTAACCGGTTTCAACCGGTTAATGAGGCTCGGTGGTCGGTCATGAAAATTCATAGTTTTTTACATCCCTAGTTGTAATCGTTGACAATTAAACCGGTAATTCCAGAGGAACAACATTCCAAATCCTTTAATTAATTACAATTAATTTTAAGCAGTAATGCATGAACACGTTTGAAATACATACATGTAATAAAAGGTAAACATTGTACAAAACATGTTATAGAAATTTTTTAACAGAAATGTAACAATCATAAGTATTTACAATATTTACATTCCTTAGTCAACATGACTTTTTAAACATGTTGCCTTTTGTGTCTAAACTTTAAATGTGGATTTCTCTGTTATTATCAGATTCAATGTCCAATAAAGACTGGTTCCTGATGTTCTCTACCACTGAAGCAGTGTTTCATAGGTTTTATTAAATTACATTATAGTAGGAAAAGCATACAAGTTGTATGTCTATATTAAACTTCTGAGCAGTCTGTTACCTTCACTCACACAGATAGTAAACATGTCCCTTCATTCTGGAATATTCCCAAAGGCCCTGAAAACTGCAGTCATCAGGCCCCTGCTAAAAAAGAGCAGTCTGGATGCCACTGTACTTAACAACTATCGTCCCATCTCAAATCTGCCATTTATGGGGAAAGTCCTTGAGAAAGTTGTCTACCTACAGCTTACTAGATTTCTTATAATCAACAACTCATTTGATATGTTTCAGTCCGGCTTTAGACCCCACCACAGCACTGAGACTGCTCTCGTTAAGGTTACAAACGATATCCGGCTGAACACTGACGCAGGCAAAGTCTCAATCTTAATCTTGTTAGATCTAAGTGCTGCCTTTGACACCGTCGACCATGAGATCCTCTTACAGAGACTAGAGGACTGGGTTGGCGTCACTGGCACCGCCCTAAGTTGGTTTAGGTCTTACCTTGAAGACAGGAAGTACTTTGTGGAGATTGGAAACTGTGTCTCAGATCATATGGCCCTGACCTGTGGAGTCCCACAGGGGTCGATCCTGGGACCTCTTCTGTTCAATCTCTACATGCTGCCATTAGGTCAGTTAATACGCAGAAACAAAGTTTCCTATCATAACTATGCAGACGACACTCAGATCTATGTCTCACTGACTGCAGGAGAACATGGACCAGTGGACTCACTCCTTCACTGTATCCAACAGATCAGTGAGTGGATGCAAAACAACTTCCTTCAGCTAAACGCAGACAAAACTGAAATGATTGTCTTTGGTCCCCAGAAACAAAGAGAGAGCGTCATCTGTCACCTACAGTCTCTCTCCCTAAAACCTTCAAACAAGGTCAGAAATCTTGGGGTAATACTGGACTCAGACTTAAATTTTAATAGCCACATCAAATCAGTAACATCAGCAGCTTTTTACCATCTAAAAAACATTGCCAGGATCAAAAACATAGTGTCTAAAGCAGACTTGGAGATTCTTATCCATGCATTTGTCTCCAGTAGGTTAGACTACTGCAATGGCCTGCTCACAGGTCTGTCCAAACAGGATGTAAAACAGCTGCAGTACATTCAAAATGCAGCAGCTCGAGTCCTGACTAGAACCAGGAAGTACGACCATATTAGTCCGGTCCTCAGGTCTCTGCACTGGCTTCCTGTGGCTCAGAGAATAGACTTTAAAACAGCTCTGCTTGTGTACAAGTCTCTCCATGGCCTCGCACCAAACTATATTAGTGACATGTTAGTCCCATATGAACCAGCCCGGACTCTGAGGAGCACAGGGACTGGACTCCTGTTAGTGCCCAGAGTCAGAACTAAACATGGGGAGGCTGCTTTTCAGATTAATGCTGCTAAAATCTGGAACAGTCTTCCTGAAGATGTGAGACAGGCCTCCTCTCTGACAATGTTTAAAACCAGGTTAAAGACGGTTCTGTTTAGCTGTGCATACAACTGAGGGATTTTATATTTTTATCTTTCTTTTTAATGTTCTGTGATAATTTATGATTTTAATGCTATCTTGTTTTGTTCAGCACTTTGAATTGCCTTGTGTATGAATTGTGCTATATAAATAAACTTGCCTTGCCTTGCCTTGCCTAAACAAATGTTATGTATTTCCATGAACGTGCAAATAACAAAATATGACAATATGTATGATTAACTTATTGGAGCCCTTAGAAGACAAGACAAGATCAACTTTATTGATCTCACAATATAGAAATGTACCCGCCACATGTTAAAAGGTTAAAAGATATACATCGTTTGGACACTATTGCTCTTTGTTAGCGCTAATGTAAAAAAAAAACCATCTGGTGATAAATCATTTTTATATGAGGTCATACAAATATGTACATCTATGTGCGTAATATGTGCGAAATAGCGAATGTATGAGAGATCAATCAATCAAAGTTTATTTGTAGAGCGCCTTTCATACACAGGGCAACACAAAGCGCTTCACAGTCCACATCACAAATCATCACATAAAACAAACACCAGAATCACAATTAAAACATTAAAATCACACAAAAGATTAAAACACAATTAAAACATTAAAATCACACAAAAGAATAAAACCATTAAAACTTTCAAAATTACACAAGAAATTTAAAAAAATAAATAAATGACAGCAGTGCATTAAAAATGGAGATAAAATCCTTCAGTTATATGCACAGGCAAACAGAACAGTCTTTAACCTGGATTTGAGATGAGATGATGTTCTGGCAGGGGCTGGCCGCTGTAGTGTTATCATTCACATTAGTCTATGGGTTTTAACATTTACAGTCTATGGTTATAACTATGAGACTAAACAAAACCTACAGCCCGCACACTTTACATTGGTTAGGCAATCAGATATGATGAATGTACACATCCTCAAAAGCAACAGCGCACACACAGCATCAGACAGACAGCTCCATGTAAACACCACAGCTGTCCTGTTAGCATTAGCATTAGCACACGGGCCTTAACAGGGAGACCACGACAAACCTGCATTACCGCAGCCACAATAATTCAATAAAACAACATTTTCGGTATGTTTTCAAATAGGTTTCTTTATCAAAATGTCCCATCTTCTGAAGCTAAGGCCTCGCTGCCCATCACTATCAGAGAGAACAGTGACTGGGTGTTAGCTTGTTAGCCTAGCCACCACCGCGTTAAACCTTGGCGCACTTCTCTTACCTGTGTCGTTGATTGACATGGTGCGATGCAAATCTCACGTGGGGCCGACTATAACTTTGGAAAATGAATTCTAATGCTTAATAATTTGACATGATGCATCTATCTGAACCGAAAAGCTGCCTCTGCGCGACAATAACAACGACCATCCACTGACACAGAGGCACGGACATGGCAGAGATGAGGGAAGCCTGCTGAAAGTGCGCCCCCTCTGGTGTGACCTGCTCCCTGCTGCTGCAACCATCAAGCACAAGGAACACAGTTGTAATATGTGTGGGGTTGCTGGTTCTATGCCATGATCATGTATATACACCGCCATAGATCATTTAAAACTCCTTGCTTTTGTCAGTAGTTGTGTTATTTTTTCCTCATTACTGTGTTATAATAATGCAGTTGTTTTATGCAGCAGCTTTTTGGACACTCAAAGACACTTCACATGTGACTATTCTTTCACTCTATGCACTCTACAGCTGCCCTGGGGCACACTGACAGAAGCAAGGCAACCAGTATGTGCCACTGGCCCCTCCCACCACCAGCCATTCACACACACACACACACACACTCATTCTAGGCAATGTGGGTGAAGTGTCTTGCCTAAGAACACAACGTCAGTTTTGGTTTATTTATCCTCATTGGATGAATTATATTTTATTTACCTTGATTTATGTGTTTTTTGGGGTAAATATCCTTGCGTGACTTAGGTTGTAAAATTATATAACGGGAAAAGTTTAGAATTTTTTTTACATATGAGTACATGTATAGTCATGCCTGTTTGTTTTTTTTTCTTTTTCTTACATATGGACTGTATCTGGAGCAATAATCAGAATTTTCTCCCAGGGAGTGTATCTTTGTAGGGATGGGATCAGGATAAGGGTCATTGGATGTTGTGTAATGTTAACTTTTTGTACTGCATGTATTGTGTTTGTTGTTGGGACCCTCTTTGAAATTGGATGTTGCATCTCAAGGATCTTTCCTTAAATACCCCAAATAAAAAACATACTCTCAATCCTTTATGACACTCCACCCTGCAGGCTACATTAACAATTAAATAAATAAATAATTTTACTTGAAGGAGGTAAAACTTGACTTATAATAGTATAATTTTATTTTTCATTCTTTAAGTATATTAATAAAACAAGATTTCCAATGGGACTTCTTGTCCCATTGGAAATCTTGTTTTGGTCTAATTTAAAGCAGAACATAAAAATACTGACCCTAACCATTTTATTCTCATTCCAAGTGAGTTGTGGAAGCACCATCTGAGGAGCCATCTGGACCAGGAGCAGAGAGCCAAACGCATCTACAGGACATGAGAAAGAGGCTCGCCATCAGGTATGAACACATGTTTGTACATTCAATGATGTTTTACTACATCATACTTCTGCTCCAGGCAGACTGATAGAAGTGAGGCTGCCATTCTGTGCCATTGGCCTGTTTGACCACACGTCATGCACACACCAGATTCAACAGAAACATACCGATTATTATTATACCCAATCGTCTTTCATCTGATACTGACGAGTTCTTGCAATAGCTTCAATGAGGTATGAGCTCAACATGTTTCATTGATTTTGTGCAGTATGAACATTTCTACATCATTTATGCTCAAATATTGATTAGGTCATATTTATATTTGCCTCTTCACGTCATGCACACTTCCTCTTGTCTAGCTCATTCAGGCGGATCCCCAAGAGTTCCCAGGCCAGCTCAGACAGTGTTTCCAGGCTCTTTCCCAGGGCCTCGTTCTAATGGGATGTACCCAGAACACCTCCCCATCCAGAGGGGCATCCAGGAGGCATCTGACTGGGCTCCGAGGCCTCTACCTCTGGAGACAATCGTGTTCTCGTGGTCATACACAACAACAAATCCATTACAATAATAACTGTTAATTGAGATGGACTATTATCTTACTGGGGTTTTAGAGTTTTTCCTACAGCCGGTGCAATATGGTCTATAGGAGAGCGGTGATGATCCAGGGCATCTGACGTTCAACGACATTTATGGACATCTATCAACATTTATGGACATTGGTCATTCACCCCATGACACTTAGACCAAGGCAAGGCAAGTATATTTGTATACTGTAGCACAATTCATACACACGGCAACTCATAGGATTGAACAAAACAAGATAAAAACAATCACACAAGGCACTAAAATCATAATTTATCACAAAATCATGTGTTTTTTATCCCTCCCTGTGTCTGGACTGTTTGATTTTCTGATCTGTGTTGGCGAATTGACAACAAATTGCTTTGTAAAGTCCTCCGAGACATCTACTGCTGTGATTTAGGGCTATACAGAAATACATTGAATTGAAATTTGAATTGATTTATTATGTGTTTGTGTAGTTTTGTGTTATTATTTGTTTATTTGTTTTTTGTCCTCCACCTTTATCGATGAACTGCTGAAGTCTGGGATTAGCTTCTGGACCGACAAACATAAACAAAAGCCTCGGGGGACACCAAAGGCCGTGAGCAGACATGTGAAGCCTCATTGTAGTGGCTCATTACAGGATCCCGCAGTGAGGAAGAAACTATTTTGTCAGATCATAAGGTCAATATGTGAATACTCAAGTGGACCGATATGCTCCACCAGGCGTTGGAAAATTGAAATTCTGCTCAAAAACATAAAGTTACTGCTACTTTTGCACATGTATCCAAATCATTTTATGTTGCTATGCTTATGTTTTACTTCTGCACACTCGCGGCATGCACAATGACACGACAATATTATGCAGACAAAAATCACTTTCCCAGGAATTTAAATTTTAGCTCCAAATAGATGTGAATAGAGAAGCTGTCACACTCCATTATGGTGACCTCAATGATTCTGTGCCCTATCCAGATCCAGCGGTTTTCCATAACAATACAAATTAAAGGGTGCAAAGCTGAAAGAGACAAGACTTATTTTCCAGCCTGCGGATGGAGGTTTCTTTACACCAGACTCTTCTGTACACATTGTCTAGACTTGTATAAAGTAACTTGAGCACAGGGATGTCAGGGTTTTATTTTAGATGATTATTGTAGGAAAAACACCAGATTATTCATTATTCATGATTATTTACATCAGCTAACAATTCATCTTATACTTTCTCAAGTAACAGCCACATTTTTTAAGTCATCCATACAATCATGAAGAGTGATTTTGAAGATGTAGTAACCGAGTTAAATTATATTTTCAAAAAATGTGTTATTTTGGATGATGCTATTTTATTACAACTTTTATTATACATATTCATATCATATGAGAGTAACTTGAAATGGGATTATATATTAGCAATATAACAAAGTTCAAATGAACATTTTGCTACAGGGATCTTTATCAAATTAGATACATGTCATGTACATGTATGTACATGTATATACATGTATGTACATGTATATACTTGTATGTACATGTATATACTTGTATGTACATGTATGTACATGCTGCATGTTGAATAAAAACGGAAATGGCTGCCTTTAATTCCCAAAATGTGATAATGGGACTTTCTGCTTTTCCAGAATAACTTGGAGTCAGTGACCCACATCCAGACGGTGTTATTCAGGGCACCGTCAATAGTCGTCTGCAGTGGAGGGTGGGCGGGGTTTCTCCTCTGCACCATTCTCTACAGAGCTCAGCCTCCGTCTGCTTTCCCATTGGCTGATTGCTTTGTCAATCTTGAAACTCTCACTGTTTCTCGCGCCATCCTCCGTGCACGCGCAAGGCAAGCAAGCACGTAACCGTTTGGAGACTGTCTGGAGTCTGTCTGAAATTCATACAAAATTGGAGATGGACTAAAACATGCAGTTGCTCCGTTTGAACAACGCCTACGATAAAGCAGATATGTCCATCCTCTGTGCTGCTGTCGCTTTGGAGCTACGGGTTCAAGACATCATATTTCCGAGCTTTCCTGAATGATGAAAGTTTTTTTCTTGTGCAGCCTGCAGACAGCTCGTTATGCTCAGGTAGGTGAGAGTTGTGTAATGTAGCCCTGTGTCAGCTAGCACACGCCTCCATCGCTCTTATGTTGAACCTTAAACATGTGTAGACGAGTCCTTTGGCTTCATGTTTGATACTTGTTTCCACAAACTTCCACCCGTGCCACTGTCTGCGTGACAAAGCCTCACGTAGATGGATGCGCGCATGGGCCACATTTGTTTTGGAGTCTCCATCATCATGAGGAGGACGCGCAGGTGACGCAGGTGACGTACCTGTGTAGACTCACGTGAGCTTTGTTGATGAACGCACGCGCTGAGTGCGAGGTTCTCATTGGCTCCTGACCCGTCCCACGATGCTCTGCGGGCTTTTGTTTTGGTTTTTAGCGGCTGTAGTGTGGTCATAGTGCGATGTGATGGCTTTGGTTACTATTGGGCCTGTCATGGGATTTATGGCCAACTAAAGTCTGGAGAGAAAGTATTTATCACCTTTGATTTTTCATTCCCAGACAGTTCCCGGGTGTCCAATACGAAGACATGTTTAATGTCAAGGACAAGCAGAGACAGGTCAGTTTATGAATAACTCAGACACGTTTGGAAGGGCCTCTTTGTGGTATAATTTCTTTGTTGGTTCATATTTTGAAACAGTAAAACATTGCAGTGTTAACATGAAGCATTACATTCAAACGTAATATCAAATTAATACTCCTAATTGCCATCATTTATATAATTGATGACTAAATATATGAATATTTAAGTTTTGTTGAACATATGTTGCTTGTGTATCTGCCTGGAGCAAAGAATCTTTTCCAACTTTTTAATTAGTTCCAAAAAACCTTTAAAGTATAGTAAACTGGTAAACTGTTGTCAGCTCAGTTATGAGTAAAGTGCAAAAGAGAGCACAGAGAATAATGGTCTTAAAACTGCACTTTGGAAATTTTCTTTTTCTAACTTTTCCCATATTCCCATAATCCCATATCGGCCAAGATGGCTGCTGAAATATTACAGGCTCTCCCCCTCCCAAAAACATCCATTGTTATTTTTGTTAAAACAATTGAATGACGTTAGTAACTTAACGTAAGTTACTTTCGACAAATCAGGTGCAGAGTAAAGAGCTTTTATGACTCGCCCAGACCAGTCAGTCTAATTAAAGTAACATAGAAAAGACTTTTTTTTTTTTTTGTGACGAAAACGAATCATTGTGCTTGTAAATATAACGTCATAATGTGTTCTGCAGGTTCGACACAAATAATCTAATCTAATGTTGTTTTTGGTTCTGTTTAAAACCTTTTTCTTCCGAGCTTATTATACCGTGATTAATTTAGATAAAATATTACATAAAACTCAGATAAACCTGGATCAGATTTACATTTCAAATGGGCTGAGTAAGTACAAAAACCTTTCACAAAATAACTTTTAACTTACATGATCCTTATATAAATGATTTAGTAAGTAGTGTGATTGACAGGAGAGGCCAGATGAGATTATGCAAGTTTATTTGTAAAGTACATTTACACAAGGCAAGGGCTTCACAAATCAAGAATAATTATAATAATTATAATAATAAGTAATAATAAAATACAGTAATCACGGTGCTTTCATGTTTACGAGTCGACTGTACCATTATTTAAAAATAATATCTTTATGGGCATTTATCACTGATTATATGATCTGTATTTTTCATAAAGTTTGTTCTTTTACTTAAAAATTTGGAACAAATCACAGCTCCTGTCTTTAAAGCAACACTTTTTATTTTGTCCATATTCATGTTGAACGATACTTCGGCAGAGTTGCACCACATACTGTATATATTTTTGTATATATTTTGATATTTTGGATTAATATGTCCAGTGTTATAACCGATTTTAATAATTTAATTTAATGCACATATTTTCTGATCAATAATTTTCCTGCCAATTGATTTCTTGCAGTTTATTTTCTCATTTGATTATTGGAATCTGTTTGAAACTATTTGTGCAGCATTGTGGATTGACACGGAGCGTGAAGTCTGCTGGTAAACACCACTTTGGCTGTCAGGTCTGAGGTCATATTAGCTTTGCTCCGAGCTCTCTTTGACATTATAGTCTGTCATGTTTATCTGTTGGCCATATCTGTGACCAGCCTGAACAGACCTCTTCATTATCGTCTTAGTGCGAGATGCTTTCCACCTTTTCAACATTTTCATTCAATGGATTTCAAGCCACTGGTTTATGCTCGATAATATTTTAAGAGGCTAAAGTTTACTGTTCGATATTATGGATTAATGGTTGTATAATATAGGAATAACAAATTGTTCAATTTCCGCACACGGTTGATTTCAAAGTTACCTAAAACTTTAGCGTTCGTTGTTTGAATCTTTCTATACGTACCCAGCACGGTAAAGTATATTTCTTGAGTCCGGCGTGTCGAAATATTTTAACTGAAAATAAGGTTGAATAACGAACAAATTAACGAATGCATTTATATATTTATTAACAAATACTAAATATTGTTCATGTTATTCTCAAGTGTGTAGAGTCACGTTCAAACTGAATATCAATGTGTTTTTTCTGACCCACTTTCATATTTCCTGTATTTCCTTTCAGAAATCGTCATGTAAGGGCAGCGTTCGTGTAAATTCTGCAAGACCATCTTCTCAAATGGTATGTTCTCATTGACTTCACCTACATAACACTTAAGCCTTTCTAAAGTTGGGTGGAGAAAGGCTAAGAATGCGTTCACTTACTGCAGTGGCTGAATATTTTCGCCTTAGGGAAAGCGTGTTGGTTTACACAGAGGTCTCTTTTTACTCCAGCTTCTGAAAATATATCACATTCACTGCTGCCATTTACTCATCGCAGCATTCATCTTTTATTAACACGGATTTGTGATCTCTTCATAAGAAAGTGATAGGATTGGACCTCATAACTTTCACTTAGCTGTGCTAGAAAATGCTGATGCAAGACTGGCTCGAATGGTTGTCCTGATTTTTCATTGGCTGCTGGTCTCCACACACAGTCACATGGTCTGGCATCATCACAGCGTCGGGAGAACACAGGCGTATATCAAATTCTCTGCTGGCTTACATTCAAACGTAGATATTTGTGCTCTATTATTCAAATAAATCTGCTGTAACATATTTGAGGAAAGGCCGTGCCCAGGTGCTGTGTTTGTGATGTTACGTGCGCCTACGGTGGGTGCAGTGACAGGGCTCACCTCTCCTGCTCTGTCTGTCTCTGTCTCTGTCTCTGTCTCTGTCCCAGCGCAGAGGACCATGTGTCTTCTCACACTACTGCACATGTGTAGCTGTCCTCTACAACCATCACTCATTACTCACGGTCCTCTTACAAAGGGCTCTTATGATGGCGTCCATTTTGAATGTAGGCCCTGACAGAGCAGGATGTAGGTCTGAAACAGTCTCATGCTCATATGTTCAGTCCTTCTTTTATCTGTGACATGAGGATTTTATTGTGATTATTATTCTTGTGGCTTTATGGAAAATGTTTTTGTTTAATTATGGTTTAAAAAGGTGCAGTGATAAATTATAATTGCAAACGTTGATTAAATAACTAATTTGTTGCCTTTCGTCACATTTGCTGCACAAAAAACAGCACAATTTTAGTGTCGTAAAAAATCTAGTTTCATATTTATATTATTTGCAGCCTAAATTATTTAATGTGTATTATTTGAAATATTATTTTAAGGTTAGATTTTCCTTATGTTTATTTTATGTTGCCATAATTTTTTTTATCAAAAAATGTTGTTTTAAAATCCAGAAAGAAGCAACAACTCAATAATTATAATTATAATTTTGTTTTCTTGGACGACGCAAAAACATTAATAATGTTTTTAATTATCTCCAATCGTTTGCCAAATGTATTTTTAGTTTTTTTTATATTCATATTTAGGTAATATACGCAAAATGGAACAATTCTGAGTTAGACATAAAAAATAAATTACCGTTTATTTTTACGTAGTTTTGGTCATTTTCAGTTTTCGGGCGTCACAAATAAACTGCTGAACATCTATTCAACTTTATAATTAGTAATTTTTCTCACATTGAAACATATTTTGGAAAAGAGAAACAGGTGTGTTGCCTTCAACACAAGGTCCTTTTCTCCGAATCCAAAATGTTTCATAAAAAATAATTCCAGTAATTTAAAGTTTATGGTCGACAGAGAGGGTCAGAAGGTGGGACATGTTCTGTGCAAGAAGTTTAATTTAACCCAAATATGTGTTTTTGAGAAAAATGGTACAATTGAAGTTTTTATTGCATGATTTTGTTGCGAACCTCCGTCTCCTGACCCTTGTTTCAGTTTCCTGTAATGTTTCTGTGGTCTGGAGCCGACGTCACAGTCCAGCAGCTCTGTGACTCCGGGACAGTCCAGGCCCTGGACTCAAACTTCTTCAGCTCGAGACGAGCAAACAAAGAACTCCTAAAAATGTCTCTGTGTTTATTTTTACTGTGAAAGTGAATATTTATATCACTGATATTCTGCTTTGCAGTAAACAGCGCTCTGTTTCAGGCTCTATGAGTATTTGTGTCCAACTATTAGAGACTTGACCCATTTACAGTGAAACCAGATTTGACATAAAATACATTTATATACATTTCTTACACACTTTCAGAATAAATTTAGAGAGAGTAATATAAATACGGCTAAATAATCACATCTCTCCATAATGTTGGCATTGAGCAAATAGAAATAATTTTGTTGAAAATGAGTGACTTATGGAGAACCTTAGTTTATTTCACTTCAAAAACAAGGATGGTCTTTATACACAGTTTAGTGTTACTGTGTAGAACACTGTGTCCCAACCTGAGGTTTGAGGACCTTGGAATGATTATCAGAGTTTCTGGAAGATGAAATTGAAAAAAATTAGCAAAACAAATTATAATCATTGTCAAAATGGACAGAACTGTCAAAAGCCTCAGAATGTTCAAGTAATGAATGAAAATGTAATAAATGCAAAGCTTGTTATTTGTGCACAACATAATTCAGGGGAAAACACTAGTTATTAGTTATTGTATGACATTTCAGGTGTCAGTATGGACTCAGTATTTATTCAATGCTCGGTCCCTTCTCTCTATAGTCCTCATTTCTTTGTTTGGTGAATGTGAAACACTGGTGAGATTCAAATGTGCCCATTTAGTCGGATTTTCTTAAGTTCTTCAAAGTCAGATATGTGAGACTGGAGGCTGTGCTTGCATTTTTGCCTAATTGGAGCTTATTTGAACACACCTGAGTACCTGCGCTCCTTTTGCCATTTGACCTTTTTTGGAGGAATAAAGCAAGGCCAAGTTTAAGCTGGTCAGCCTAAAAACATCACAGCACTGGGAGCCTCCATGACTAATTAGAAAATGTCTGCTTTAAGATAAAGCACTGTCCCTTATAGAGCCAGAGTTGATTAGTAAATATGCACCTACCCAGCTGCAGTAAGCTAATACGTCTCCCTGGACGTGGAGAGTGAATATTTCATATTTGGCTGATGACTAACAGCTTTTGTGCCCGTCTCAAATGTGGCTCTCCATAAGCCTGGTCAAATGGATGAAGAAAAAGCCTCTGCAGGCTCTCTCCTGTCACACAATGGTGTGGAAAGGTCAGGTCTAATGAAGTCAGGGGACTGACCCTTCGTATTCAGTGACTTTGCATGGGCCCCCGTCCCACTGCTGCAACCATACCACTTAATCCCTTTTTGATCCTAATTGATAGGCATTAACATGATCCCTATCCAAGAGCAGTGTTTTGTCTTCCACAGGCCTTCTCTTTGGGTGTCATTGACTCAAAGTGTGAAAGCGTTAAACCAAATGTGAAATGGATATTTTTCTTGTTTGTGTGGCTCAGATGTGGCTGTTCCTAAACAATCCCACAAAGTGCTCAGTGGTCACTGTTTGCCCTGCACAGTCTTAGCAGGACTTAACTCCTGACCTTTCTGATCTGATTTTGGTGTGAATGGGAGCTGTCCACTTCCAGTTTGTTTTGCTCATAGCCCTTTTATCTTCATGCTGAAGTGATCACTGCCTTTTACTTTCAACTAATTACCCTTTAGGGAATGATTGTATTTACTCACCGCACACTGCTATGGCAACCCATATACATCTGAGAATGATAAGTATCATGCATAAAGTGCCATATTAACAAAGAGCCATTTTACCTGGTGCCTGTGCCAGTGGTCCCAGACTCTCGCCATCAGGACAGCCCATCCTTGTGTAATTAAAAGTGTTTTTGAACATGTTCAGCAGTGTGCAGCAGCCCACTTTAGCTGCAAATGCCAGGTGTTGCATTGGTTCTTGTTGGTTTCACACAGTGACTTCAGTCCCTCCCTGGAATGCCGTTTGCAGGTCTCTATAGGATTGGATGTTGTTTCCAGCTTGTTTGCTGCGATGAATAATGAGTATGTGGTATGACTTGATGACATAATTTGGGGATTTCTTTCAAAAATACCTAATTATGAAGCGAAGACACTACAGATTGGCATTCTGCTTGTATATCCACTTGACTGGCACCACCTGCCCTCTGTATGTCACACTCACTTCACTTACCCCATTGTTAGAAGAAACCCCAGCAGACTCAGAGCAGACTCAGAGCAGACTCAGAGCAGACTCAGAGCAGACTCAGAGCAGACCCAGAGCAGACTCAGAGCAGACCCAGAGCAGACTCAGAGCAGACCCAGAGCAGACTCAGAGCAGACCCAGAGCAGACCCCTTTAAGTAAAGTGTGTGAAGGACATGTACAAGCAGGAGTGACACGCCAACTTTTTAATAACATTTAACATCTATGAACACTTTAGACACACAACTTTTAAAAAATGATAGAAGAGTCTTTTATCATTTTGTAAACCTGCTCTGATGAAATAACAGAAGGTTTTATATTTTTTAGCACAGTGGTGGGAAACAATGGTTATTCGACGAGCTTCTTAAGTATTCTGGAAAATAGATGCTTAAATATTTCCCACCATTGTGCTAAAATATATTATTATTAAGATTATTAAACTTAGAATTTTGACTTGGATTTGGATAAAGGTGCCTTAATGTCCCATATGCATCTATGTTTAAGCTTATGTGACTTTGTTGTTTCCTCCTGAAAGTGATTTATTTCAAACAACTGTGGATTTATGTTGAATACATTCAGTGATCCACTTTGTAGACTTAATTCGACTTGATTGTATTTATGGTTGGTTACCGTTAAACAGGCGAAGGTGAAGGTGACACTGGGAAAATACCTGGTTGAAAAAAATGATTACAGGTTTTTTTTGGCGGTGGCTCTTGGCGCCCGGATATTGTGCAGGTTCCCAGCCCTAACGTTATTTAAAAAAAATGTTTTTGTTGTTGTTTTGTTTTTAAAAATGTGTGACTACGTTTGTTGGAGGTGATTGAGATCAAGAATGAGTTAAATTTGTGGAAAATCACTGCTTAAATCTTGAAGACGAATATGTGATTTTAACATTTAACTGAGCTCTAACCAGGAAGAAATGGTTGATGCAAATCTGTTTTTACACAAATAAAAAAGGGAACATGTCAGCAATAGGGATTTATGTTTTTGCTTCAGTTAAACGCCTGTCTTACAATCCCTCTCAAGGGTTTTAATATTTAGTTGATTCACTCAGTTTCACAAAAACCACAGCAGTGAAAAGGAAAGAAAAAAGGTAAGAACATGTGAATGTGAGGGTTGCGAGGCGCAGTGATGAGTTTGTCTAATGCGCTGATCAGACTCAGCTCAAAGAAGGAGGAGCAGCTGAGACACATTTAAACATCGACTCTTTGGGATAGAATTATAGACATAATATTTCAAAATGATTCTCCTTTTGTGATGTGAACCATGATATATGTCGGAAATTTCTGGGGAAAAAAATGGAATTATTTTTTCATGTTTTTTACTTTGATGAATTTCTGTGCAGATAATGTTCAGAGAATTGTATTTCTTAATGGACCAATTTAGAAGACTGCTTTATCGAGCAGACATCAACATTGGATCTGTGCCTCACGCCAACTCATAGAAGTTCCAAAATTATATTTATCTGTTATATTTTTTCCTGGTGTTCGAACAGTTACATAGATCACTGCTCATTTGCTGATTTCTGATCGGGTTTGTTCATTCTCCCTCAAAATGAAACAATATCAATGCCACCTAGAAGGCTCGTAAATACTACTTGAGTACCACTTGAGTAACTGCGGCATCATTCCTTATGCACTGACCGCTGTTGTAGCTTCCATAAAGTCCAAAGATCTTCACATGTGCACACACGAGAGCTGTACAGTGCTGCTGCTCACAGCTGGAAGAAGAGCGAGCTGTCACATTGTACCACACTAACTTCCTCTCTTAGATAAAGCAATCAGACGTCACACTTCAAACAGTTCAACTTAAGGAAAAGAAATGGAGCCGGCCGATGTTTCAGAAGCCATTTTGTTGACTGAAATTAGTTTTCATGGTTGTATTTGCCACTTGAGTGTAATACTCAGCTGAACTTTTCTACAACGTGCTTCACCTTCCTCTTGACAAAACCATTCAAGATCAAGGGCACCACCTTTGCAACTAATGAGGTTGTTTATTTGCTAAATTTCCTTGTGGACCTAACAGAGAGAAAACAGGCCACGCATAGTAGAGCATAAAATTAGCATTAGCAAAGCTGAATCCAAAACACCAACTATACACACATACACACGCCTATATAGATGTATATCTATCTCAATAGTTATATATCACTAAGTATATCTATCTAATATATCTATATACAAATATACTTCTCCACATGAGTAGGCAGCGCGACACTGGAGGCTCCTGACCACATATTGTCACATCATGTTCTTTGTTTGTTGATAAAGATTGAGTTCCAATCTGCGTAAATGTATGAAGCTTTGCAGTGTATTTGCGTATCTGTCCAACCATGCTATCTATTCAAACACTGTCCGTCTCATTGTCAACGCTGCCCGTACTTTTTTCCAGAAATCTATTCTGTTATTTGGAACCAGATGGCGAGGGGCACGGAAGCACGGCTTTTGTCTGGGTGCCCCTGTGAAAAGAGGCTGTCCTCCCCTGTGTAATCAGCAGCACCGGAAGGGTCCGTTTGGGGTGTGAAAGAAGACAATTGGGCCTGGACACCTCTAGATTACAGAACTATCCCTGCCCCCCTTTGACCAAGGCCCTGGCATGGAGCATCCTCATCTTTGATCAGTGAAGGGGAGAGGCATCCCGGCTCTAGGGCCAAAGGCCAGCCCTGTTTACTCTGCACTTGGCTGCAGTGACATATCCGGACCAAACCGGGGGATGGTGGGACGCAGTGTGAGCGCTGGACCTCAGGACTGCAGGACCAACACCACTTCACTCATTAATCTGATTATGGCAAACTCTCATTTGGATGAGAACCAAAGCTGACGATGATGAAGCGTTTCTTCCATGATGTTGAGAAACATAGGTGTGGCCAAACCTCCATTCTGCTCCATGAGATTTTGGAACATATAATAAATGAACCAATCACCAGAACTAATATTGGGAAGTGTTAGTTTGAGTGCTATTATTTAATCAACAGTTAAATTTGGGGACTAAATATGGATCATTTGTATTAATAATAATACAAGTCAGTTAGACCCATCATTGGTCAGTGTACCTTTTTTCTGAAAGTATAGCATATTAATTTGTTACAAAAAGCATGACTCAATTATTACTAAAAACAGTTTGACATAATAAACAAAGATAATGAGATTGTTTTGGTCATGGATGTATCTGTGGAATACATGGGTCAAAGGGAGACAACGTTCATCACTTTCGTGGAGGTTGTATTCCTGCATTTTAAGTAAAGAATGATATACATTTGCGTTTATCAGTTAATTTGAGTTCTTTTTTAAAACTGGGGACTTGATTTATAATTATTTGTGATTTTCACCATGACGCTCTTGTGACGTCACTCGTTTCATAGAAATAGTTGCTCCAGATGTTGATAATATTCACATTTCTGCTGCAGCACCTTCTGGGTGTGAAGTACAACAGAGCAGAATATTTGAATGAGCTTTGATGTTGGCAGTGTTCCTCAGGAGAGGGTGAATCCACCATCATGGCCGCCACAATCAGCCCCGCCCCGGCTCTGCCACTCAACAGCTAAAATGGCTGGATACAACAAAATGAGTGAGGGGAGCGGGAGACGCCCACCAAGAGTCCCGACATGGTCGACTGAGCCGGGTCTGGCCTTGCAGCCAGACTCCGACTGATCTGATTATTTTGTGTTTGTCCATGTGAGCACAAAGTGAAGCCCTGGAGTCCAGACAGGTGAGGTCTGCGCCTGCGTCCAAACCACTCCGCCGCCGCCTTCTCTCCAGCTCATGTTTGCTCTTGGATTTGTTGTTGTGTGTTTTTTTGATTATAGAACCTCTTTTTAATGAATGCACATGTTGTGAACGTTTGTGTTTTCAAACTTTAGTCAAATAATCTCTTTCGGGGACAAATAAAGTGCACCTTAACCTTTTCCAAATAAATGTATACTTCTATTAGTGAGCACAGTGAGCATTATTCGGAGAAACCACAATAAATTATTACTTATCATCTTCCCAGCGCTGTCTCACACAACTGATGTTACTAATTGTGTTAGTGTATCGGAAAATACCTACAAACAAATCTCTTCACAATCCTCTCAGATAAAGTGTATCATTTATTTGTGCAGGTGGACGTTGATGAGGACTCTATTGGGAGAATGTCCCCCGCGGAGAGCAGAGGGCTGAAGGTAAATGTCCAAACTCACTATTTTTGGCTCTGGTTCTCATTGTGAATGAAATGTTATTATTGGATCCTATGTGAGAGTCTTCCCTGGTTCTTTACAGTGCACAGACTTGTGGCGGACGTAGAGGAAGATGTCATGCTCAGGATGGGTTTGGTGATGATGCTGCTTCTGTGGAGGCTGCATGGAGCTCTCACTTTGTGCTCTGTCAGCTCTGATGCGTAAGCGGGCCCTGAGTGACAGGCCGCTCCCAGGGGACCACAGGGGGCCTTAGGTGAGTCACATGTATCCTTGACCCTGTCTAGCCATGTGTCAACAAGCACTACAAACTCAGAAAAAGGCCACAAAGCAGCATGCTGTACAATGGACATCTTCATTTGGATCAGAAATGTGGAATCAAACATGCTAATGAGGGCGGTACTGCTAGCTCGCTGGGCCGTAGGACACACAAGAACACATCGTGAGGATTCTACTCTTACTTTTACTTACTCATTCAGACAGACAAACACTTTCTTGTATTTTTTCCCCATTTGATTTTGTGTTATTATATTATTATACCGTATTAGTGCATTAAACAATACTAAAAAGCAACTCTGCCTCCAGCTCATTTATCAAACATTGTACTATTTTGAATGTCTCACATTGAGTGTCCGCCAAAGTCAGGTGTGTGGAAAAACTTTAGCTTTGTTGGTTTTCAGTGTAAAAAAGCGTCATGATGGATTTAACATCTATGTGTCTGTTTGGGTTTGTTTTTTGTCTGTGACGGGGCAGATTTTATGAACCGCAGTTTGTACCTTGGGCTAATTTCTATCCGTTTTCCCAGTCACCCTCACAAGACAAGATAAACTTTATTGATCTCACAATGGAGACATTTACAAACACTCATTCATCCTGAACTGCTCAATATACACCTTTTATTTTTTATTTTTTTCTTATTGTAAAATGTATAATATCTTTGAAAAATATCTAAAGTTCGTATTGACTACTAAATAAACTACTACTATTACTACTATCTATTGTACATGTTTTTAGTGGTAGCTCCGGAGCACACGGAGGAAGCCTACGCAGACACGGGGAGAACATGCAAACTCCACACAGAAAGGCCCTGTGTGGAGGTGGAATCAAACCGTCACGTGTAACTCGCAGTGTCGTACTATTTTTTATTTGCCGTCTGCAAAAGCATAAAAAATAAAAGTGGCTCGACCGATGTGACGTTTGTGTCCTGTGTCCAGTAGGACGGCGACGCAACGTTTACAGAAGGTCTTGGGTTCGATTCCTTGCAGAGTCCGCCTTTGGAGTTTATACCCGTGTCTGCGTAGGTTTCCTCCGGGTGCTCCAGTTTCCCGTGCCACTAGAAACCTTTGTGAAACTTTGGGACAGCAGAAGGAATTCAGCCGATCCAGCAGATCCGAACCCACTAAACAATAGATAAATAAGTTACTTTGACATTTGTTGCACATTCTATAAATATTAAAATAATGTCATATTTTGTCCTATTTTTAAAGGCTGGAATTATACACTTTTACACAAACACTTTCATATGAATATATATTTTTTGTTTTTCTAGAGTGGAATTTGGGATAGAACACAGAGGGTATTAAAATGTCCATGGAATCTGAATCTGAATAAAGCCGAGTCCGAGGACAGAGCTGGGAAACATAATCCATAGTGAGAAATAAAAAAATGTGTGTGAACATTTTTGAATTAGATTGTAAATGGTTTAAAGTAGAGGTGGACGTAAAACTGGACTGTAGAAAATAAATCTAAACTGATCATAAATAATGTAAAGATAAATGTTTGATTGGTTTTACACTATTCCAGTCGAATCTCTTATCTCTGTATCTCTTACCAAAGTATGGTCTGATTATTGTCATTATTGGGATTATTGGGATAGGGTTAAAAATATGTTGTGAACTCTGATGGTAAAAGTAGTTTTCGTTGTTTAAAATGTATTTTCCAAAAGTTCCAAGACATTTCAAGGGTTTCTTTGCTAAATCAGATTTCTCCGTTTTTAAAAAAATGTCCAAAAAGTTGTATTCCTCCGCTACAATCTTCAACATGTTTTGGCAGTAATTTTGAAAGAATTTGCTCAAGAAGGATGGAACTTTATTTGTATGGCGCTGAAATAGATCTGGCTTTTTTTTTTTTAAAACAGCACTTGGACAATGGTAAGCCTTTCCAATATTTTTCTAATGACTCTTGGTTTTTTCCAAGGATAAGAAGAGTTGAACAGCCGAGGAGATAATGTCTGTCGTTTGCACATGTTTTAGGCCACATGCACAAACGGGCTAAAGTAATAACTCCAGATGGATTAAGTGTATGTTGAATAAGAAATACCACACCAAACTGCAGCTGTAGTAAGTGTTTTTCATGAAAGACTTGTGTTTCGTCCCCTGCTGAAGAGTTTTTAAAGAATCCTCGCTGTAGAGTTTTGCGTCTTTTTTCAGGGGTCCCTCAAACGCCATGTGTGAAATGAGAGTTGCCTGGGTGTGACTTTTCCAAAAAGCATCCGCTGGCTATTGTCTGCCCAGTCAACTTGTGCAGGCCCCAGTGCCCTGACTTCCATACATGAGAGATCAAGGGTTACCAAGGTGCTTTTGAGGAGATGGGCTCAATGTGAGAGAGGACAAACTAGCTCACAAAATGCTCATTTCCTTTGCATGTTGGCCCTAGTGGGGTTTCAGACAGGGTCACCGACACAGTAGTGGGCTGCATGCCTTCTCCACCCTGCAGACTTAATGAAAAACACTTGCTTTTCATTGGCTTGTGACTGCGATCCGCCTGCTGTACAGTACGGCAGCTGATAATGTGCTGCATTTGGCCAAAAGACAGTTTGTTCACACTATGGATGTTTATCCGGGGCCGGACAGGGAAACCTCCTAGAAAAGGTAAAAGTAGTTCTGTCCACCTCTCATTCTCGCCTGAACGTTCAGTCACTGAGCCATGGCATTAACTTGTATTCTAACAAGATTAAAATATATTCGTCCTGGGGATTAGCATAGTTAGGTGTCCTTTTGCCTCTTTTTCCTGCACTGGTGCAGTGACAGTGGGCTTTGATCTGTGTTGCAAGGCAAGAGTCCTGGCTTGGACCTAACCATTCAAGTGCCAAGTGTGAAATTGGCCTGATGTCATCCCCATTCTTCACCTTTTACATCTTTCACCACTTTAATTATGTTTCCGCCACAAAGGCCAGGCACCTCGGAGCAGATTCCTCCGCGTCCATAGGAAGCATTTAGAAACTGTGAGTAAATGACACAGTAGGGGAGGGGAGATGGTTGGAGAGGTCATAGCAGGATGGGGCTCTTTTGTGTTTGGTGCTAGACATTGATACTTTTCCTCATGCACCCTCAACCCACTTCCATTTTCATCTCCGTCCTATGCTTTTATGACCCACACAAACTCCATTTTACTTTTGTTCTCTGCAACAATGCTGTACGTCCTTTTCAACTTTTAAACAATTACTATGACCTCTTGTTCTCTGTAAGCTTAACCCCAACTCCATAAGTTATATCTACAGTAAGTATTTCACTCAATTACTATGATCTCTTGTCATCAGTGACTCTGACCCTAACCCTAACCCTAATCCCAACCCCATATAATAAGTATTTCACTGCAAACCAACACCTAAAACTTTTCTGATGAAAATATATAAATACATCGACTGCTGCTTCCTCTCCCTCTGCAACTGCTGTCCCAATTTGAACTTTGGCGTAGGATGTAGCGCATTTTGAGCAGCAGGGTAATATTAGGATGAAGTCTCTGAATGCACAGAGGGAATGAGTGGCTGCAGCAACACAACACAGAGCTGTGCATAAGCAGCCGGAGCACAAGCAGCCGGAGCACAAGCAGCCGGAGCACAAGCAGCTGGAGCACAAGCAGCCGGAGCATAAGCAGCCGGAGCATAAGCAGCCGGAGCACAAGCAGCCGGAGCATAAGCAGCCGGAGCACAAGCAGCCGGAGCACAAGCAGCCGGAGCATAAGCAGCCGGAGCATAAGCAGCCGGAGCATAAGCAGTGAGTAAAGGAAGTGGACGGGGTGATGCTGAACAGGAGTAAAGAGGTGCACATGTGTTTAGCAGTGAAGGAGCTGTGTGGAGAATGGCTCAGGAGGATGGGAGGGGGAAACAGCCACCTGCAGCCATGAGGGGCTTTGACCTTCACTGCTCCCTCCCTCCCTCCTCTCCTCCTTCACTCCCATTCTGCCGGAGATAGAAGTGTAGCTCTTTTGAGAGAAACTGACCATCAACAAGACAGTGCGGGGAGCAGCCCGATCCGTTCCAATGCTAGTCACCGGCCCTTCGACAGCCCGTTCAAAGACTAGCGGTGCAAGTATGGAAATGCAGATCAGCTTTTGTGGATGAAACATGCATGAGAGTTGTTCAAGGATCTCTATTGCATAATTTTTGGATGTTTTTTTTCTGCAAATGTCTCTTAACTTCTGACCTGACGCCAAGTTTGTGCTGTGGAAAAACACAATTGCAAGTGAATGGATACCTGTGTGTGTTATTGTGTAATTTCTTGTGGTGTGTGTATGTGTGTGTGTGTGTGTGTGTGTGTGTGTAATAAAGATAGGAGAAGATTCTGTGTATAATCTTCATGGTTTATTTACTCTTCTTTTGCAGTTCTCAGGAGGCAGTTAATTACACAATTTAATACATGATACAAATTATGTACATTTTATACCAAAGAATACTTCAAACATAAAATAAAAATAGCAATGTATTTCTACAACTCTGTGATGTAATTTTATGTTCATATATAGATAGATTTACGCTGATGAGTAAGTTCATAATGCAGTTTTCATAAAGGCGTTGAATACTCTGCATTTGAAGTAGGCTATACTGCTTCTCTGATTCGGCACAGTTCTGTTTAAGAAAAAGTTCTCTGTTGAACTTTAAGGCAAAGTGTGTTTCAGTTTGGTGGATTTAATTCACACACACCTTTTTCAGATACACAACAAAACAGTTTGAAAGGCAAAAAAGTCCCCATTTTGGTTGGATACAGTCTCCACTTCATTACACTTTCACTAAGAAAGACTTGAGGGTATAAACACAGTTTTTTGCCCATTTACAACAAATTGCAGCTTTCATGCAAAGGCCCCATAAACTATTTTTCATTCACAAAAAGAAAACAAAAGAAGTTATTGCAAGATAAACAAGCAGTGTAAACACCTCAGATACCTACTCTAAAGCAACACTGGTCATTGGATAAATCTTTTCTCAATAT